GGTCTCCAGTGAAATAGAAGGTTAATCCGGTAGCCGAAAGGCGTTATTTGCATTCGCAAATATAAGCTAAGACTATGATTTGGGAATGAAAGATTTCATCTACCGGATTAACATACTTTTCTATGGGCAACTCATTTAAATATTAAAAGTACCTGCCAATATTCCATTCATATTTTAATGAATTGCCCATAAAATAGTAGGTTAATCCGGCAGCCGACAGGCGTTAGTGGCATTCGCGAATACGAGATCATTTATTTTATAATTTGGGAAATATATATTTTCACAATATTGAAATAGATGGTGGTTCAAAGTGGAATACATATCATACAAAAGTGTCACAGATATGACTAGCAGGCATATACTTTTAGTATATTAGTCCATTTGTCACCCCTATACATCCAATAGTGAACCTAGAATTTGTTAAAAGTACGATGTTTTATGGTCGATTTATGATAATAAGGGTTTTCTGAAGTGATTTAACTGGGTTGCCGAAAAAGTTTGTTTGGGGAAAAAATTATATAGGCTGATTAGGGAGGGGTGCAATCGCTTAACATGGCGTTGACTATTAACTTAGCGTTGGGATACCACCATATACCTGGTATGTTACTATGGTAATAGATACCAAAATTTTCCCCAAAGTTATTTTTTTGGCAACCCAGCTAAATCACTCCAATAATCCCTAATGATAGTATTTACACAGAAAAACATCATACTTTTAAATATTCATACGTTCAGAAAATGACAAATGGACTATATGGTCTTTCTTTGCATGACTTCGCAGAACATATCAAAACCCTGGGATCCACAGGGTAACAATAACAGTAAGTACATTTCTAAGTTCATGCTTCAAAGTTGTCAAAGTTGTAAAAGGGTAATCCTTTTATGAGTACGAAAGCGTACTTTTTGTTGAATAGCCTTTCCCAGCTGCTAATCTTGTGAGTGCATCGTGCATTCAACGAATTGTATTCACTTATTAACCAATCAGTGCCAGGAACAAAATGCACGCTGACTTGTTTTATGAAGCATGCTACATACAAATGTTACGCTTTTGCTTATTTACTTTGCGAAGAACTATTTATATAATATACATTATATATGTTATATACTATTTATATAACATACATTACCAATTGACTGCAAGATTTGAGTGAACAAGTAACTCGTATTTTTCATTTTTCGATATTTTGTGATTTGTTGGCTGATGAGTAACTTGATATTTTATGTCTAAATGTATCAAAGTGGTTCATAGTAATAGTTTTATTGTACACCATAAACTGTTAACGTTTTAGAAATAGAACACAATATATGATTTGATAATAGGACAATACATGTAATAATATGTCTAAACTCGGTGGTTTGTTTGTAAGTTTGTTTTTCTAACACCTCAATAACTTACATTCAATGCGTATCTAATCCTCATAATTTACAAATAAATCAGTTATTAAATGCCCGATTTTCGACAGGTAAAGGTAATATATCAACCCTCGGTCCCCACTGTTCCTCTTGTAGATATATTATACATGTATAACCTTCTCAGATATATCCTGTATATTAAATACATTAAATAACATATATATGTTAGTCTCAGCCTAGACAGTATACATTAATTTTATTGGATAATGCGTAAAATTCGAATGAACTTGAAATGAAATTCAACATCCAAAATATGTTAATTTGATCATTCACCGTGTAACTCAAAGCATATGCATGGCCTATTTGCCTTAAAATACAATTGTGATTATGATTTCTGTTCTCCACAAGTAAAATCTAGAAACATAACAGAGTTAAGTTACACGAAATTCAGCTAACTTGAACACGAAGTCTTTCAATTAACTTAAAGTGTCTGTTCGATGCTCGGTCAAAATACAGTTTATACACGTTCTAAATGAAGTAAATACCACTAACATGTCGAACCAGTAACCGTTCTTGTAAACATTTTTATGAATGTGAAATTTAATGTTCAAAATCGGGAACACAATTTCAAATCTCTATCATGACATCACGAACAGGACGGGTTTAGAATATGTTGTTGGAGTTCATAATCTCCGAACGTGCTTATAAAGTATTAGTGTAATTGATTGCAACTGCATTCATTGAAGTGAGGAATTGATTCAGAGATGACTACTTTGGAGTCACGTTTTTTCCTCCGATAAACCAAAAAAAATAATACCTAAATTAGAGCCTCTGACCCAGCGGTACGTTTTCACATAGCTAGTCATGCAGAATTACTTTCTGGCCATTTAGAACACAATATAGAAAATAAACACGCTCAGTTGATAGTATTACCTAACATAAGGCGTCTAAAATCTTGTAACCAAAAGGCATTGAACCATGAGGTGATTTCGGTAAGTGTTACTCCTTTCTGGCCAATCAGAACACGGTATAACATGAACACTTTTGAATTTACATTCGAGTTGCATAACGCATTGCCGATAAAAATCCATAACCGGTTCTGTTCGTGACGTCATGTTTTTCCCGGGAAATCTTATTTTGCCACTAATGAACAAATAGAATGAGTTAAGAGTCTGTTGGAATACTATTTTTACTTACCAATATCTGTTTAATCTACTGCAGTGAGAAAAAATAAACAGAAATTACCGAATAAGCACTTTAATCGTTGATTCATTTCTATAGGTTTATTAGAATTATTACAACGATCGTTCATCAAACGAGTCCTATATTCAATATCTATTCGTTGGACCTATTCTTTAAGTGTAACTATATTCTTTAAAAGTATCTGCTTAGTGCTACGTTAACATATATTCATTATTTTTATCCACAAAAGAGTATCAAACGTTAATGCACAACTAGCCGAGACATGGCCCCCCTCGTCCAGAGTGAAACACAAGGTCCTCATTCTTTAATAATTATATTTCAATTATTTAGTTAAATGCTTAAATGTTGGAAAATGAGTCGCTGTGACGTAATATCTGGCACAGCAATTTCAGAGTCACTGCAATGAATAGAAACATCACAAGGATCTTAAGACTAAATAAATAAGCTATTTAGGGATGAATATAACATTCGGTGAAATCCGTGATATCGTTATATCATTTGTTGATCGTCAAAGCTGCGCCCATTCGCTACCCTCATCTGTGAAACTATCGATATAGAATTGAGTCTCTATTTTCTATTTCAAAACATTGGGATTTACGCGCACAAGAGATGCTATGTAGTAGGCTATTACAAAAATCAAAAAATCGCCACCAAAATTCCTCGGAGCAGGCAGATATAAGACCAGACTGGGCATACACAAAATGTATTGTATGTGCTCCTTAGGTTGCACTCGGGTGCTATCAAAATCGAACACACACAAGTATAAGATACACAGCATCATGATAAACCATGACATCTCATTTCTTCTCAGCCCTGAGATGTTTCAGGTGAAACAGAAAGATGCTATGAGTATCAGAATGGATACACAGAGATAATTAAGGGATGAGTGACAAAGGGATGTTAAAAACAGGCGGCTATTGCAATTGATATTTTAATGTAACTTCCGAATGTAAGAATCTTTTCATCGATAAAAAGAACATCTTAGATATGTTCTATGTGAGTGTATTTGAAAATGTAGTACATAGCTAGTTCCATCTATAAAGATGTCTGATGACAAAAAGCTCAATTTTCCTTGATGTCACGGTCAATGGAACTTTAACACGTGAACTAATGTTTTTTATTTTTTTGTTTTAAAGTCACTTATAGCAAACCTAATCTAACAATTATCTCACGATATGCTTATGACATATTCATGTATACGTCGTTTGTATTTTTTTTTAATCGACCCACGAAAATATGCAATACATCAAGTTAAAAAAGTGGTACGAATCATAGAAGCGACGTTGGGTGGTTCACTAGTAATTTTTTTATGGAAAATCTAGAAATATTACCCAAATTAATTTATGTCTATTCAAAAGAAGACATTCAAATCTATATTATGTAAAAAAAATCAAATTTGTCCGAAGCAGGGATAGCGCTCAATTAGAGTGATGAACTTCGTTCTCCAAACCGAGAATCATCCTTTATTAATATTTTCTTCCAATGGCTACAATTCATGCATACATTACACAAATGGCTACATTCAAATTTCAATTTTGGAACAAATGTTTATTTTCTCATAATTTAATTATTTATCTTTAATTATTTAATGCTTACCAACAATTTTAAGAACTGGTTTTACTTGTAACATGTGAAGCTGATGTAAAGTAGTTTAGTAGTTGTAGTTTTTGGACACTGTAGTGACTGATATGTCATTTATATGACATGATTATTGAGTCAGTAAAAGAAATATATTCCATGTTCTTTTTGAATGGAGATTCAAATCTGATGTCACTTTGACTTTTAGTAAAATATTAACCATACACATAATAAGGTGTTATCTCAGATTTTATTATGGGCATGTTGCTCTGTATCACTTAAAAATTGAAACTGTAAATAATAGCTTGACAACAAAACAAACATTTGATACCATTTGCTTAATTTCTTAAATTAATTGATTTTTGAATAACTTTTTTTAACTAAATGAACAAAATATTTTAATTAATACCACTGAAAAGTTGCTTGAAATAAAAGTCGAAAGGTTTCTAAAATTAAACTGCTGCTTAAAGTAATACATCCCTCCCCATAAAAATCCTGATGCATATTACTGCTAAAACACCATTCTACCCCCTCAATACATGCAACTTTTCAGGAAGTTTGCTCATCCCAGTTTTAATTATTTACATATTTACATTGTAATATGCTGGTATAAAGAGACATGGTATTGCTACTAGAAAACCAACAGTTTTCATGTCACCACTTCCAGAAGTATGACAAAAATATTGTTAAACGTAGTCTCCAACTTTTTGTGGTGTTCAGCAGTTGTGATCAGTGGTTGGTGTTTGGCGGTTGGTGTTCAGTGTCTGTAACAAATAGCAGGTCGTGTAATTATAAAGCTACAGCCCAAAGCATTATAAAACCAGTATCTCAATAATTTCCCTCAATCCTTGTATTTATGTCTTCAGGTGATGCAGCATGCTGGCATAGAGGGGGAACAGATGGTACTATTACTAGAAGACCACCAGTTTGTGGAGCCACAGTTCTTAGAGTTGATCAACAGCCTGCTCTCAGCAGGGGAGGTACCTGGCTTGTACACCCCAGAGGAGCTTGACCCCCTGCTTGCACCCCTGAGAGACCAGGCTTCGGATGATGGCCACAGAGGACCTCTCTTCGGATATTTTGCACAGCGTGAGATACTCACAGATTTTATTGTTAACGTTATAGTGGTGTTAAAGTTCACTGTGACATTATATCATTTTTTATGTGTTAATTATTCATTGACGAAATGTGTTATCAAAAGTTTTCATTTAAAACAGTGACATCTTTCTATCTTAGAAAATTATTGCATTTAGGTCAAACATATAACAAATATGACTTCCTATTCAATCATTTGACAGGATGTCAACCTACAACCAATACTTCATTTCAACCCTTGGACTTTCTACACATTTTAAAATATTTTTTTTCAGTAAATTGGATGAAAATTGTTCAAATAAGAGCGATTTTAGTGAACAATTTTGTGACAGATTATCTCGTTACTCTAGGTTCCAAGGTCATTTCTGAGGTGACGAGAAATCTCATCACTCTGGGTAGTCAAGAGGTTAATTATAAATTGTAGGAATCCAGACTAACTTGCACATTGTGTTAGTAATGGACTGCACCAATAGTAACTTTACATTGAACTGTGAGAGCAATCCTGCCCTCTATAAACAATGCAGTGTACAATGGATGGATAGCTGGAGTAGGGAAAGCATGGTTCGAGTAAGTAAAATATTTTCCATGTACATGTATTATTTTGGAAATAATATTTATTTATATCTGTTTTGGTTTATCTCTCAATCCTTGCAACTGCAATATGAAATGAGGATAAAATGTAATAATGTGTATTCTGTATCTTTTAAGTAAACATAATATTTTTGTTTTCCAGGTGCCTCATATGTTGTTGACACGCCCACCAAAAGTAGAGGGCGCTGCTCTCTCCAAGGACAAGGAGAGAAAGCGCAAATTGAGTGGAGGTGATGACCTCCTCAAGGCATTCCTCCATGTCCATGAGTCATGTGCTGAATTTGGTGCAACACCAAGACGTTATATATCTTTCCTGAATTGCTACCAGCATGTTTACAGCAACAAGAAAGCCAGCATAGAGAAAAACCAGCACCATTTACAGGTAACCAACCTTAATATTATTATATTATTATTTTTCTGATTAAATCTAATTAAAGATTGCAAGATTACAAGATTATTGCAATTGACCTTCCAGCCTAAATGATCCTTGAGAAAACCATATCAAATTCGTCTAAATAAGTCTGTGCCAAGGTCTGATTAATCTTTGGGCAAATTACATGGTGGTCGTTTTGCTCTTCAAAGTGTTATATTTATTATTGTGTGTCTTGTTTAAATTCAGGCTGGTGTGTCTAAGCTGAATGAAGCTAAGGAGCTTGTAGATGGTTTGAAGAAGAAGGCAGCTGAGCAGTCCAAACATCTGGCTGAGAAACAAGAAGAGGCTGATGTTGCTCTCAAAGAGATCACTGTTACAATGCAGGTAATCTGGGGTCTGATCAGTAATTGATTAATGTAAGTGGCCCATTGGCTGAATATCAGGGAGCTGTTTCACAAGATAAAATCAGGGAGCCATTTTTCAAACAACAAATTAAATATGCACTGTTGCTTAGGACTATCTATTCAATTGTTTTCAGTCCTCTATTCAGGGAGGTGTCTATCAAATACTTAATAAAATGTATAGAAAATGTTCATTTTTAATTGATTTCTCTTGGATATACATTAATTTTATATTAATTCTATTTTATTTTAAAAAGAATGCCAGTGAACAAAAATCTGAAATGGAAGTGCTAAAAGGCCAGACAGCTGAGGAGAACATCAAACTTGAGAAACGTAAAAAAGGAATCGATAAGGAACTTGCTGAAATTGAACCACTGATCCAAGAGGCAAAGAAGGCTGTTGGAGCAATCAAAACTGAGTCACTTTCAGAAATACGATCTCTGCGAGCACCTCCTCCTGCGATTCGCGATATTCTGGAGGGTGTGCTGAGGCTCATGGGTATTTTTGATACATCCTGGGTCAGCATGAAAAGGTATTGTGAATTATTGGATCACATTATTTACACAATAAGTAAATAAATTAGATTGAAAATGTCGATCAGACGTGAGACAATCAATTTAATTAATTAATAATGAAATTGAAATTGAACAACTTTAATGTGTTTTTTTTCAATTTTGTTTCTTTTAAGGGCATTGCTCTAAACCTTAAAACTTTGTATTTCCTCAATTTGAATTTAAAAATTAAAAAGTAAATTATCTTTTTAAATTATTTTTTTACTTTATAGTTTCTTAGCAAAGCGAGGTGTGAAGGATGAAATTCGTGAATTTGAAGCAAGGAAGATTACACCTGAGATTCGCAAAAGTGTTGAGGAATTGCTGCAAGCAAATGGTGCATCATTTGAAGAAAAAGTATGAAGCACATATCTCCCTGATCAAGCAAAAATTACATCAAAGCATCAACATCATTTTAAAGTTGCACTATCTCCACTTACATGTATTATCAATGTTATTGATCAAACTAAACGTGCTAGTTACCTTCAATTTCAAGTCCATCATACCCTAATATAATTTATAAACTGTGTTGATGTTGTGATCTTAATCAGAATTGAATAGTGAATGTCTCACCACATATATTTCCTTAATAAATGGTGGAAAAGGTCGAGCTATTGGACACATTTTCTTTGTACATTAGATCTTGCTTGAGATTTTAGAGTTTAGTTTCATATGGTCTGATACTTTATAAATGTTTTTTTTCCCTTTTCTAACTGTTTTAGCTCCCTGTTTTTGAATATTTATCACCCTGTTTTACACTATCATTTTTCCATTTTCTACCCAGAATGCCAAGCGTGCCTCTGCAGCAGCTGCTCCCCTTGCAGGCTGGGTTAAGGCCAATGTGAAATACTCCTACGTTCTCGAGAAAATAGGCCCCTTGGAGGCAGAACAAGCAACACTTCAAAAGTATGAAGATCACATATTTCAATTGCTTATTTTTCTGCATCTCTTAATTTTGGGGATTTTTATTTCATTCTCGTTTATTACAATTTTTCAATCTGCAGGAATTCAGATAATAAAACACTTGATTCCCTTATATTTCTCCATGCTGCTTATTAATTCCATTCCATTTATTTATCATTCTTCAATTTATTTGTGTCTAGCAATATACTATATATAACATGACTACTTCATTTCAGGAATCTCGACAAGGCTATGTCTCGCATGAGTAAGCTTAGTCAAGGGCTGGAAAAAGTGGATCGTAAAGTTGCTGGACTGAGGGACAGGTAAGGGAAAGTTTCAGATAGAACCCAGCTTAAAGTTCATATTCCTTTTGTTATATTAGATTATACCTATTTTATTTATATAAGACTTGGGTACAGTTTGAGGTTGTTCATTTTGTGTTGATCATAACTTACAAGTTATATGGGTGATACATGTAGCTTCATAAGCAGACCCTTTGCTGACATTTAATATATACTTCATTTGAAACAAATGGATAAATGCCAAATAATTGAAAATGCCAACAGTTTGACCCTAGTTGCTATACATAGAGGTTCAATGATTTTATTGATTGATTCTTGTAGATTTGAGAAGCTAACCAAGGAAGCTACCAGGCTGAAGGTGGACCTAGAGAGAGAACAGGAAACTATTGTTGCTGCTGAGAATCTCGTTGGAAAATTGGATGGAGAATATCAGAGATGGAATACACAGGTAAACATTCGCGATGTTATAATAAAATCTCTCCAGAAATCTGAGAGGGTTTCTTTTTCGATATATGTTGTTTCTTTTTACAACTTAGCATGTCCTTTAAGGAATGGGGGGACAATATCATCCATTGTCAGCAATTCCTGGTCATTTGCCTGACCTTGGCTCCTGTACTCTTAAGAATATGTTAAGCATTGATTGACAATCTTTTTTTGAATTTTTCAGGTTGGAGAACTGTCTGTGACTCTAAAAGAACTGCCAATGAGGGTACTACTGGCTGCTGCATTTATAACATACATGTCTTCAGCCCCTGAAGATGTCAGAAGGAACAGCCTAAATAGCTGGATGGAAGCCACTGGAGTAACAGGTATGCATGCATCAACAGCTTTGATATTAAATTAATCCCTTGGGAAAATTGTTTTTAGTCTTTTCTGACTATTTTATGCTGCCAAAAGTTAATATTAGGGGTTCTGTTAACACTTATTATTTTATCATGATAACCTCGGAAATTTTGCTTGGTTTTAGTCTTTTGTCATAGCAATATTCTGATTTTTCCTTTAAGGGTTGGATTTGAGACAGTTCTTGAACATCAAGAGTGATAATATTGACAACAAAAAAACTTTTAGTTCAAATACTTGACATTTAATTCTACATGTTTGGTTGTCCTGGTACATGTCAACCATTTCTAATGCATGTACTCTTATTATGTCCTCTCCTTGCAGGGTTTGATTTTTATGTCCACCATTTCTAATGCGTGTTCTCTTTTTGCAGGGTTTGATTTGAGAAGGTTCCTGAGCACTGAGAGTGAGCAGCTGATGTGGAAGGCAGAGGGTTTGCCATCTGATAATCTTTCAATGGAGAATGCTCTTGTAATACTGCAGGTAAGGCAACCTATGATGAGACTTCTCCTTTGAGTTTCTTTGAGATCACAAAAGCTGTTGAATTCAAGATTTCGTTTGATCAGTAATTTTTGATTCTTTACATTCTAAAATTAATCCAGTTCATCTCATTAGAAAACAAAAAAATGGAAAAATAGACTAATCATATGTCTTTGTACAATGCATGGTTGCATGAGTGTACTTTAAGACTTTACTGACACACTCCTGCATGATATGAGGTGTGTTTACTGAAATAATCATACAGTATATTTATTTAAAATGTTTTAGTTATCAAGCGGAACAATTTTTTAAGTTGATAACTAATTGTATTTTAAAATTCATGCATGTTTTGATGATTTGGGGCAAGAGCCAATTTTACTTTAATATCCTGATTGGATTTGTCTAAAGTTCTTAATTGCATGTTTAATATATCATGCATGCATGTACGATGTACGTCTTGTAAAATATTATATTGTTTTGTATCAGCTGAATGATGTCGCTGCTGGGGTAAGACCACGTGTGATGTTTCCCTCAATAATATAAAACTCCACAAATTGTCTTGATGGTCATGTTTTGAAATGCAAAATAAGAGTGAAAAAGAGTGGAATTAGCAAGGATTAAACTAGCTAGACATGTAGTGAACACTCTAAATTGTATAGAAATGCAAGAAAATCAGACACTTCATTCAAGTTTTAGAGAGAAATGTAGAGAAGTAAACATGACCAGACATGACATTTATAATGTCCTTCCTCCACACACTGTTGGACTGTACATGTATATCACAATTTGCTTTCCTTACATTTGAATTGCAAATTTGCCCTCTTGATTGATCTATTCTGATTTGAACTGCTACACATTTTGTCATTCTGTACTGTACACATTTGGTTATTTTGGCAATTTATGAAATATCAATTTAACAATTTCCACCAAAATTGCTTGAATGTACAGTATATACGCACATAAGCGAGCACCCGTTTCTTTGGATTGTGTCTACAAGTCTTTCAATCTATTACACTTAGTAATATCACCCACCACAAATGCTCATTTAGGTAATTTTGCAAGAACACAGTAAATAAGTGCCTATATATGCGTTTGAAACTCTTGGTTAAAATACACACTTTCTTTTTCTATATGTTTTGTAAATTATATGATATTCTACATGAATTATTTAGCTGAATTTTATTTTCTTATTGAACTTCTTTGATTTTAGCTATTTCAGTGTGATTGAAGATTTTCCTCTTTGTGATTGACAATTTTAAATGTACTGCTAATGTATTGATTTTTGAGTGACTTGTTGTAACATTTTGAACTTCTAAATCACTTTTATGAATTAAGCCCTTCAGAATTCACTTAAACTCTAAAGATGATTTCTTAAATAAATAAGAAATTGAAATTAAAAAAATGAGAAAAATTCAATCACTAATTTAATGAATTAAAATTAAATCATTTTATTTGTTGTGTTTCAGAGTACACTACGCCCCTTCCTTGTCGACCCATCATCCAGAGCAACTGATTGGCTGAAGGCTCATATGAAGGAGAACAGACTGGAAGTTGTTAACCAACAAGATGCAAACTTCAGCACTGCGCTGGAGCTAGCTGTCAGGTATGTACAGTATATGATATATTTTTGTAACATCAAAGGGTGCTGAATCTACACTAAAACACTAAAACCTTATATCCCAATACCACTTCTTTATTCTCCAATTTACATCCATGTTAAAAACCTGAATATGTGACCATCTAATCTGAGTTCCCTAAACTCTGTTTTAGGTTTGGGAAGACCCTTGTCATACAGGAGATGGATGGAATAGAACCTGTCCTCTATCCTCTTCTAAGAGGAGATCTTGTTGCACAAGGTATGGACATGTTCTTTTCACTGCGTCATCATTTGTCGTATGTGTTTAATAGCTGATCATAGCATAATCAAAGTTGATATTATTGAACGTTTTAGGAGTGTGGATTTGCATATAATTCATGATTTTATATGGTTTTGAATTAGCAAGTGGAGGTAACTCCCTCTATGAAGCAAGTAAGAATATACACGTACCATAATATCCATGTAAAATGTACATTATGACCAGTTAGCCATAATTTACTATTTGTGCAATATTTAAAAAAACTCAAAAATCGTCTCTTAGAAATTGATTGTGTGCATTAAAGTGAGGTAATATGGTGCAAATACATAGTTAAGAAAATATGTTTACAATGTTTCTGTTATGTTCATTGTTTCATGTTTAATTCAAATTATTTATTGTAAAATATTTTTGAAAAAATAGATTTTTACTATGTGTTTTTAAATCCGGATATCTGCCCAGTTGGCATTAAAATATATTTTCTAAATTAACACGGTGTGTCACCCAAAGTCCCTTGAAGGAGTGTGATATGTTTCACCTTTAGGAAACAACTGATTGGGCTGATATATTGTTGTTGAGACTTCTACAGTATGACATTTGTATGGGAGTCATATCATATTTACAACATGGCATAAATTTAGCTTTAGTCTATTCTGTATTCCTACAGGCCCAAGGTTTGTAGTCCAGATAGGAGACAAAGTGATAGACTACAATGAGGAATTCCGCCTCTTTATGACAACTAGGAACCCAAATCCTGAGATTCCCCCTGATGCTGCGTCTATTGTGTCTGAGGTGAACTTTACCACCACGAGGGCTGGCCTTACAGGACAGGTAGACAAGTATTTGCAAATATTTATCCCAACAGACCTTTTCGATAAACCCTGCCGGTGCCGGCCACATGAATTAAGCTAGAATTTATTGGCTAGATGTTTGATATCTGATTGATGACATACATTGCCAATTTTTGTCAAAAAACTGCCGAGAGCAATTATCATTGTATCATATTTTCTTGAATTTTCTGAAAAAGAATCCAGGTTAAGCAACAACTCACATATCAACAAAATCATTAGTTTGATGCCTAGAGAGTTTAACATTAGTCCTATTAGAAATACATACCAAATTAAAAAAAGGTTATCAAGAAATCAAGAAAAAAAATTAAAACTTTAAAATTTGAAATACACATAGAAACATGATATGCCTAAATGTTGAAGTGTGTGTTTCTATTCTCCAGCTATTAGCGAACACAATCCAACATGAGAAGCCTCAACTGGAAGTGAGAAAGACTGAACTATTGAGGCAAGAAGAGGAACTGAAGATTGAACTAGCTAAATTGGAGGAGTCTTTGTTAGAGGTAAGGATATACATATAAATTGATAATGTGTTCAATATATATCAAATAAGATTGCTAAATTTTGATACCATTAATTATCTTTCTCTATGGTGAACTAACCCAATGTCAAGATCCATTTTTCAAGAAATTGTGTTGTCTTATTCAAATGCAGAAAGAACAGTATTTATTTAGAAACTCCATAAAATCAGGTGTTTTTTAAATATTTCAGGAATTGGCAAATGCAACAGGAAACATATTGGAGAACAAGAAACTATTGGACTCATTGACAAAGACCAAGGCTAGCAGTATAACTATTAGTGAATCTCTAACAGAGGCGCAGAGACTACAGGCTTCTCTCGATCAGGTAGGTATCACTTTATGGAATGAGCTCCCAAGTGTTGCCTGCCAGCATGATCACGACATGATGACCTTTTCAGCTCAAATGTTCCCCAATATCAGTAGAATTGAAGTTATTTTAGTGCATTTAGCCCTAAAATCCTTGACATATCCTGATCTGTGTGTTAACAGAAATTGTACCTTTGCTGGAAAACTGCAGGTGTAGCCTGAATTTGGCATCCATTATCCTTTCATTTTAGTAATACAAGTAAAGGGCTGTCCAAAAAGTTTTTTATTTAGATTTTTATTCTTATTTTTAACTTTCTTAAAATTCTTTAGTTCAGCTACAATTTTGTGTATACTGTACTTCAATTGAAGTGTTATCTTTTATATCCTGAAGTTTCAGCATCATGTATTAATGTTAGGTCTTAAAATGGTTGCTATAGCAACACGGTGCGATGATAATCTCTGTATGAAATGAATAGAATAATATAAACTTGTACATTCAGGAGCGTGATGCGTACCTCCCACTAGCCGAGAATGGAAGCAGGTTGTACTTCGTCATCACAGATCTTTGTAAGTTGAACAACATGTACAGATTCAGCCTGGCGTCATTCCTGAGACTCTTCCAGAGGGCCCTTATGAATAAGCAGGTGAGTGGATCTTCTGGAACACCCTGTAGATCCTGCAATAGTTCATACTTAATAAATCTTCTACCACACCTTGTAGTTAGTTTAGACACATGGTTTTACATTTTTCTGTGACACCTTGTAGTTTTAGATTCAGAAGTTTTTTACACAAAAATCAAGGAGGATTGGCTCCCAGGTTCGAAACTCGATATTTTCCAACAATGAAAACTTTGAAATGTCGTAATTTTCTGAAATTACAACCGACTATAAATTCACTACTAATATCTCGATCATTTCTTGTGAGTTTTGGAATTTTTCGTTTGGAAATAGGACCAAATTCCATGATTCAAATGTTAATGTGAACAAAATGGTGGCTGTTTGAATTCGAATTTTGTATCACGACATGTCCATATATGGGACAGAATATCGATGTTGCACTCTGGGAGACAATCCTCTTTGCACAAAAATATGAGTGTTTCTGAATTTTCATTTTTTTACTTCTATAAATCCATACTGAATTTCATATGTTTTGCTCATTTTATTCCTTAGCATTTCATATTAATTTAACAATTTCTTTTGATGATTTATCACCCTATACACTTAAATTCTATATCTTTCTGAATCATTTGTAGATTAGTGACATAAACCTATGGACTCTACAGTTCAAACAGGTGACATAGCTAAGCAATTCGGGAATGTTTAAAGCTATCTGTTGCTTGGTGAATTTTTTGTTATTGCATAATAAGGTTACCTGTATATTGAATATTGATATGATAACATTGTTAGGGAAGTCTAGCTGTTTATTAATTAATGTTTGTTTACATTAATGTTGATGTTGCTTTTGAATATTATCAGTATATGCATTAATCATATTAGGTCATGTTCAATGCTTTTTGGTTATGTCCATTTGCTTTCAAAACCTGCATGAGCCTTAATAATGTATAAGTGTACAATGTGTGTCACTCCATTGGCATGTGATCCTTATGCCATTTATTGATCACGTTATGAACATTGCAAATGACTGTTCTTAGCAAAGAGTATGTTTACATATAATTTACATGTTTACAACATCCTTTATCAGCTAGACCAGAATGATCCAAATCACAGATATTAATCCAGACCTCATCATACTGGTAATGTCAGCTTAGCAATCCCCCCCCCCCCTTCGTTAGCTCATTGTACTATGAGCACTGAGTAGGCTAACAAGATGATGGGGTAAGGATTGGGTCCCTCATATATGATTTGTGCTTCATTAATTAATGGCAAAAAGATCTTTAGAAAAAATAAGGTCTGGATCCTGGGTGTTATATATCATTTGACTATTTGACACCAAAAAACAAAGTAGAACCCTTAAGTATCCTGAGAAAACCTTGTAAACATATATACTTTTGTAATTAAATGATTTTACTGAATATTCCAGGAGGGATCCAGCACTGAGATGAGGATCAAGACTCTAATCTCAAACCTACAGTACTTGGTATATGAGTACATCTGTAGGTCTCTCTTCAAGGCTGATAGAATGATGTTTGCCATGCATATGGTGCATGGCATGCATCCAGAGTCATTCAAAGAAAACGTAAGTAAGATTTGTCAAAATTTGTCAAAATATTGTCAATTTTGGACCTTTTCTTTTTTAATGTTGTAAGTGTTCTTAGAATGAACCAAATTGATGTTTTTGACAAAAAAAGTGAGAAAGTCAGTTCATTGATAGTCAAAGGTGTTTTGAGAAATTCATTTAAAAAAATTGATATTTTTCAATGAATCTCCAGATCACTGACTAGATTTGGAATCAAAGTGATCATTTGATCCAAGGAGTCATTTGAGCTGTAAATGAGCTGTAAAATCATGTAAATTTCTGGCACTCGATCAACTGTTCTTTTTCTAAAGGCATCGTACATGTGGTTGTGGGGGGGGACTGAGGTGGAGATGGGGTTCAGTGGTGTGTAGACATTTTGTAATTTTTTTTCATTATTTTACGTTGTAATATGGATAATACTCCCATTAGGGGGTCTTCCATCTTATTTGATGTATATGATTTTATTATAAACTGAAATAAAACACAATAACAATAAAAAAAAATGATGCAAATAATATTGACAAATTCATGAATATTGTAGGAATGGGAGATGTTTGTTGGGCTAATGGTAGCTGATGTAAAGGATGTTGGAAGAGACAAGCCGAATTGGGTGGATGATGAAAGAATCCAAGCTGTTGCAGCTTTAAAGGTAATTCATGTCTTTCACTAAAAGTTAAATGAAGTACTGTATAAGTGGTAATTTTGCCTAATCATTTAATTTGCCTATTTCCTAACTTTTGCCAGGTTCGGAAAATTAAATGTCGGAAATAATGTCTTTATAATGTTATCCAATGGGAGGTTTCTTATCATTAGGAAAATTAAAATTAGGAAAATGATGAAATTTGACCATTCGGAAAATTAACCACTCGGATTAAATACCACTTATACAGTATCTGATTTTTATATACTCCAACTTTTCTGTGGATGGTGTTTGGCAGTTGGTGTTCAACATTCAGCGTCTGTAACAAATGGCAGGTGGTGACATTGCATGTTAATGCCTTGTCTGAAAAAAATAATGAGAGCTTAAAATACATACCTGTTTCCTTTATTACTTGGTAATTAAAAAGCGATTCAATTCTTTTCTATTTTGCATTTTATAAACAAGATCATTGAATTTTATAATCTTATCTCATATATTGCAGTCCATCCTGCCCCAGTTGTACAATGAGCTACAATTCTCAGATTCTGGTACATGGTCGCAGTTTTCCAGGAGTAGCCAAGATGAAATGGAATTGTAGTTCTCTTCCACTTTCATTATACATGTAGTTGCTAACATATGCCTTGTATTCATTGCAGTCCATCCTGCCCCAGTTGTACAATGAGCTTCAGTTCTCAGATTCTGGTACATGGTCGCAGTTTTCCAGAAGTAGTCAGTGTGAAGTGGAATTCCCATCAGCAATCTCACGACGTATCACTCCCTTTGAGGAAGTACTAGTCATACAGGCAACTCGCCCCGATCGCCTTCAGAGTGCCATGACTAGCTTTGTATGTAAAGCCCTAGGTAGGTTGTTGTCACAAAGAATTACACAGTTATATCTATTTCATATATTGCAATATGAAAGCCTAATGCCAAAACAGATTTGAGATGGTTGACTTGATGTAACAGACTTGTTATTTATATCCACTAATGGCTATAGGGAAATCTATATTGTACATAATTCTGTTCACAATAGTTATGAAACATACTGCTTTTTATTCTTTCTAACTAGATATGAAAGAGGTATCTCCCCCTACTGTCAACCTAAAGAGACTCTACCAAAATGAAACCATACCAGCTGAGCCTGTATTGATTGTTATCTCCCCTGGAGCAGATCCTTCCCAGGAGCTACAGGAGTTGGCCAATGAGATGATCGGTGCAGAACGCTACCACCAGGTATGTCATATATAAAGATGCCATTCATGCATATGTTTAAAGAGACTTCTTTACGTTGAATGTGCTTTTTTTGTTTAAAGGCATGTACAAATATAAAACAATTACCTGTTGTTTAAAGTCATATTGCTATGCAATGCGGTGGTCACATTTGCTCTGATCCTAAACACCTTCGCCTGGCTGAATTCAAATCCGAATTCAATTCTGAACAAAATACTCATCGGCTGGGCACTGGTACTGAAAATCAGACCAAATACATGTATGAACATAGCATGACAAATGAGATTTGTTTTAAAAGCTAAACTATTCAACTTTTACAGTGCACTTTATATGCATGTTCAAGACTTGGCTTATTCTGTTACAGGTTGCAATGGGTCAAGGCCAGGCAGAGTTGGCTATGAAGCTGCTCAAGGAGAGTGCAGAGAATGGAGATTGGCTGTGTCTGAAGAATCTCCACTTGGTCACTGCATGGCTACCTGTTCTGGAGAAGGTATAAAAAGAAATGATAATAATCTACCCTGAAATCATACTGTAGGCAACCACAATTTTGAAACCTTGACTTTGATCTACATATACATGTCTAAAAATATTATAAATCTAAATTTTGAGAAATAGCATATAACAACTCAAAAACATCACAAAGAGAAATCCACCTTAAAGCTCATACCTTATTGTCCAAAGGACAATGCCATACAGAGGTCTCAACCCTGAAGTACAATAAGACAGTTGTATATATGTTTATTATTCCAGGAGCTGAACTCCCTCCAACCTAAAGAGACATTCAGGTTGTGGCTTACAGCAGAGGTTCATCCTAAATTCTCCACTATTCTCCAACAGTTCAATTATAAGTTGTACATGTTCTTTATTCCAGGAACTGAACTCCCTCCAGCCTAAAGAGACATTCAGGTTGTGACTTACAGCAGAGGTTCATCCTAAATTCCCCACTATTCTCCAACAGTTCAATTATAAGTTGTACATGTTCTTTATTCCAGGAACTGAACTCCCTCCAGCCTAAAGAGACATTCAGGTTGTGACTTACAGCAGAAGTTCATCCTAAATTCCCCACTATTCTCCTGCAGTTCAATTATAAGTTGTACATGTTCTTTATTCCAGGAACTGAACTCCTTTCAACCTAAAGAGACATTCAGGTTGTGGCTTACAGCAGAGGTTCATCCTAAATTTCCCACTATTCTCCTTCAGTTCAATTATAAGTTTTACATGTTCTTTATTTCAGGAACTGAACTCCCTTCAACCTAAAGAGACATTCAGGTTGTGGCTTACAGCAGAGGTTCATCCTAAATTCCCCACTATTCTCCCTCAGTTCAATTATAAGTTGTACATGTTCTATATTTCAGGAACTGAACTCCCTTCAGCCTAAAGAGACATTCAGGTTGTGGCTTACAGCAGAGGTTCATCCTAAATTCCCCACTATTCTCCTACAGTTCAATTTTAAGTTGTACATGTTCTTTATTACAGGAACTGAACTCCCTTCAACCTAAAGAGACATTCAGGTTGTGGCTTACAGCAGAGGTTCATCCTAAATTCCCCACTATTCTCCTTCAGTTCAATTATAAGTTGTACATGTTCTTTATTACAGGAACTGAACTCCCTCCAGCCTAAAGAGACATTCAGGTTGTGGCTTACAGCAGAGGTTCATCCTAAATTCCCCACTATTCTCCCTCAGTTCAATTATAAGTTGTACATGTTCTATATTTCAGGAACTGAACTCCCTTCAGCCTAAAGAGACATTCAGGTTGTGGCTTACAGCAGAGGTTCATCCTAAATTCCCCACTATTCTCCTACAGTTCAATTTTAAGTTGTACATGTTCTTTATTTCAGGAACTGAACTCCCTTCAGCCTAAAGAGACATTCAGGTTGTGGCTTACAGCAGACGTTCATCCTAAATTCCCTACTATTCTCCTACAGTTCAATTATAAGTTGTACATGTTCTTTATTTCAGGAACTGAACTCCCTTCAGCCTAAAGAGACATTCAGGTTGTGGCTTACAGCAGAGGTTCATCCTAAATTCCCCACTATTCTCCTACAGTTCAATTTTAAGGTGTACATGTTCTTTATTCCAGGAACTGAACTCCCTTCAGCCTAAAGAGACATTCAGGTTGTGGCTTACAGCAGACGTTCATCCTAAATTCCCCACTATTCTCCTACAGTTCAATTTTAAGTTGTACATGTTCTTTATTTCAGGAACTGAACTCCCTCCAGCCTAAAGAGACATTCAGGTTGTGGCTTACAGCAGAGGTTCATCCCAAATTCCCCACTATTCTCTTACAGTTCAATCATAAGTTGTACATGTTCTTTATTTCAGGAACTGAACTCCCTCCAGCCTAAAGAGACATTCAGGTTGTTGCTTACAGCAGAGGTTCATCCTAAATTCCCTACTATTCTCCTACAGTTCAATTATAAGTTGTACATGTTCTTTATTCCAGGAACTGAACTCCCTCCAGCCTAAAGAGACATTCAGATTGTGGCTTACAGCAGAGGTTCATCCTAAATTCCCCACTATTCTCCTACAGTTCAATTATAAGTTGTACATGTTCTTTATTCCAGGAGCTGAACTCACTCCAGCCTAAAGAGACATTCAGGTTGTGGCTTACAGCAGAGGTTCATCCTAAATTCCCTACTATTCTCCTACAGTTCAATTATAAGTTGTACATGTTCTTTATTCCAGGAACTGAACTCCCTCCAGCCAAAAGAGACTTTCAGATTGTGGCTTACAGCAGAGGTTCATCCTAAATTCCCCACTATTCTCCTTCAGTTCAATTATAAGTTGTACATGTTCTTTATTTCAGGAACTGAACTCCCTCCAGCCTAAAGAGACATTCAGGTTGTGGCTTACAGCAGAGGTTCATCCTAAATTCCCCACTATTCTCCAACAGTTCAATTTTAAGTTGTACATGTTCTTTATTTCAGGAACTGAACTCACTCCAGCCTAAAGAGACTTTCAGATTGTGGCTTACAGCAGAGGTTCATCCTAAATTCCCCACTATTCTCCTGCAGTCAAGTTTGAAAATCACCTATGAGGTTAGTGATATGCCATGGCAGCCATTTTGGAATGTAACTGCCAATTTTATGCATGGTCGAATTTTTAGAACTTCGACGAATCCACGTACCCCTGAATCCATGTACCCTTAAATTCAGGTGCCGCTGAATTTGTGTTAAAAACTGGATGCAAACTTAGTGGAAATTAGGGCACCTTGAAAAAACTGAACTCTTACAGTACATTTTTTGTTAAAAGACATTGGCAGTTTTCATGAAAATGACATGTAAATTAAAAAGAAATGATGTCACACCCATTTATGATGTAGCTGCATTTTACTAGTTTGCAGCATGATGAAATATTCAATGAGATTTGCTACACTGGCGTTCCAATTTACTATTGATCTTTTTCAGCCAAAATTTTCCTGCCTGTAGTATATTGGATATGTAAGACATGGAAGCCTACAATGTCATGCTGATAAAAAAGTCAGCTAGTCCTGATTTGTTAAATATGTATTACAAGTAATCTTTATGTACATTTTCAAGAACACAAGAAATATTTGTTTTCAGGCTCCTCCAGGTATTAAGAAGAACCTGCTGCGTACATATGACACGTGGGCCCCAGACTTTGTGTCAAAGGGGGGTAGTGTTGTCAGAAGTCAGGCCCTACTGGCACTTGCATGGTTCCATGCTATATGCCAGGAGAGGAGAAACTACATACCACAGGTAAACCTACTTACATTAAGTTTAAGGAAGTTTCCCTTTGCCCATTTTTTATGAAGGCACTCACCATTTGATTTTATTTGATCCTAGCTCAGATTTTGATTTAAACCTTGATTATATTGTGTACTTAACTTGTTCTAATTTTTTTTTATATTCGTTTGTATCCACAGATTAAAATACTGTATCTGTATTTATATTTCAGGGATGGACAAAATTCTATGAGTTCTCTCTGTCAGATCTTCGTGCTGCTACTGAAATAGTGGACCGTATTTGTTCAGGTATGTTCATAGGCTCAGGGTAAAAGATGGTAGTGCAGAATGAGCAGTCAACCTAATTAGCTTCTATATTTTCTCATACAGAATTAAAATATACTGTATGAACTACACCACTGCCATCTTTATAACAGATCCAAACTTGGGTGTGTCCCATCAGTTCTTATATCACCAGAACAAATGATGTAAAATATTCAAACTAAGTATGACTTTAATATTAATAATATGAATGAAACTGATAATTTCACCAGACCAAGCATGGGAAAGAAATTCAACATAACACCAGGGGGTAATAATAATTTTAATATTGAGACTACATGTACTTGTACTATTGATATTGATTAAACTTGGAAATAAATATAATCTTTGAATAAACATGTCAATAAATAGTTAAAGTACACCAAACCTCCCAAGTGTTTGTTGTTTGTTTGTATTGATCCAAATGAACATTGATTTTTTTTTCTGAATAATTTAAATGGTAGAATTCTCCTATTTGTTCAGTATCATCCTGATTATAATATCCCAAACATGACTCTTTATACCTTTGTTTTACGATTTAATTTTCAGAATATTTCTTTGAATCAATCAACCTGTACATACATGTATCTTGAGTTGTGTATTTTTTTTCTAGTAAAAGGAGAAGTAAAATGGAACTTCGTGCATGGACTGTTAAAGTTTGCCATATATGGTGGTAGAGTGGACAATACATTTGATGTACGCGTCATGGAATCATATCTCAAACAGTTTTTTGATCCCCAAATGTTAAGCAGCCAATCACGTGGCTCCAAAAGACTTGGGCCTATCAAGATACCCAACTCCACACAATATAATGTAAGTACTTGTGTATTAAAAGTTAGTTGGTATCGTGTACTCCCCTTTCATATCCTAAAGTTCACATAGGGATGGGGTATTGTGGAACCAGACTTGATGCAAAGCTATGAACGTTTTTCATGTAACATTTAATATTGTCAGTTTCCTGTGCAATATAGGAAAGAGGAAACGCCCTCATCTTTAGCATACATGTAATGTTAATTTTGCAAAATCGTTTGCCATGTGTACATGTAAAAAAACTTATCAAGTCATGGAAGCCAATTTTACTCTATTTGGTTTAACACTAAGTGTGTCACAACCATTGTTATAGCCACTAGATTTTTGTGGCATTCCATAATAACTGTTTTACTTTCTATGTCGCTGAGTCCACAAGTGGTGACATATTGTTATAGTCTTAAACTTTTTTGTGGATGGTATTTGTCATTTGGCAGTCAGTGTCTGTAAAAATGGCAGGTGGTGATATTTTCCATGTTAATGCCTTGTGTATTGCAATAAATTATAAATTAGGTTGTGACATGTTGCCATGTTAATATGCAGTTTCAGCTATGAGACTTTCATGTTTCAGGATTACATGGACACAGTGGAGGCACTACCTGACTCTGATAAACCTTCTCACTTTGGCCTTCCTGAGAACATAGAGAGATCAGCGCAGAGGATTACTAGCTCACAGGTAAATATTCCCCAGAATTAAAGTGATGCATGTACTTTAACTCAGTGCTTATTCTCTTAAAGATGTGGTCGATTTTCTTGTTGGTGACATTGTACTGCAACCTTTTTGAGAATATTTTAATGATTAGTTATGATTAGTGATCATAATTTTTAAAATTGTTTTTTGACCAACTCATTAAATGAGTAAAGTCAGAGTGCTCATGCTGCTCAATCTCATGACATTTTGACTACCATGAATTCCCCTTTTCTGAAACCCCAGGTTCCTAGATAGGCCACTCAGCCAACACTTCACCCCTAAACCCTAAAAGGTTGTTTAATGAGTAATAGTTTGATATTATGTGTCACCACCAAAAGTGGTGACATATTGTTATAGACTCCGTTTTTTTATGTCACCACCAAAATTGGTGACATATTGTTATAGTCTCCGTTTTTTTGCGACGGCGGTTGGTGGTTGGAGGTTGGCGTCCGGCGTCTGTAACAATTTCTTACAACTTCCTATAACTTAACAAATACTGTTTAGATTGACTTCAATTTTTTCTAAATCATCTACATGTTCTCAGAAGTTCAAATCTGACTTTAGATTTGACATTTGACCTTCAATGACCTTCTCAAGGTCAAAAAGGTCTTTTTTCAACTTGCTTCACATTGACTAAATTTTTTTTCAAAATCATCTACATGTTCTCAGAAACTCAAATCTGACTTTAGATTTGACTTTAGATTTGACAGTTGACCTCCAAATCGGACTTTAGATTTGACATTTGACCTTCAATGACCTTCTCAAGGTCAAAAAAGGTCTGTTTTCAACTTGCTTCAAATTGACTAATTTTTTTTTTCAAAATCATCTACGTGTTCTCAGAAATTCAAATCTGACCTAAGATTTGACTTAAGATTTGACATTTGACCTTCAATGACCTTCTCAAGGTCAAAAAAGGTCAAAAAGGTCTGTTTTCAACTTGCTTCAAATTGACTAAAAAAATTTTTCAAAATCATCTACGTGTTCTCAGAAATTCAAATCTGACTTTAGATTTGACTTAAGATTTGACATTTGACCTTCAATGACCATCTCAAAGTCAAAAAAGGTCAAAAAGGTCTTTTTTCAACTTGCTTCAAATTGACTAAATTTTTTTTCAAAATCATCTACATGTTCTCAGATATTCAAATCTGACTTTAGATTTGACATTTGACCTTCAATGACCTTCTCAATGTCAAAAAAGGTCAAAAAGGTATTTTTTCATCTTGCTTCAAATTGACTAAATTCTTTTTTCAAAATCATCTACATGTTCTCAGAAATTCAAATATGACTTTAGGTTTGACTTTAGATTTGACATTTGACCTTCAATGACCTTCTCAAGGTCAAAAAAGGTCAAAAAGGTCTTTTTTCAACTTGCTTCAAATTGACTAATTTTTTTTTCAAAATCATCTACATGTTCTCAGAAATTCAAATCTGACTTTAGATTTGACATTTGACCTTTAATGACCTTCTCAAGGTCAAAAAAGGTCAAAAAGGTCTGTAATCAACTTGCTTCAAATTGACCCAATTTTTTTTTCAAAATCATCTACATCTTTTCAGAAGTTCAAATTTGACTTTACAAGTTCTCAGAAGTTCAAATCTGACTTTAGATTTGACCTTTGACCTTCAATGACCTTTTCAAGGTCAAAAAGGTCTTTTTTCAACTTGCTTCAAATTTACTTAATTTTTTTTTCAAAATCATCTACATGTTCTCAGAAGTTCAAATCTGACTCTACATTTGATATTTGACCTTCAATGACCTTCTCAATGTCAAAAAAAGTCAAAGAGGTATTTTTTCAACTTGCTTTAAATTGACCAAATTGTTTAGGTGGTGACATTTTGTCATGTTAATGCCTTGTTTTATGTTGTTATACTTGATTTATTTATTTTTCATCTTTTAAGGTTATTTCTCAATTGAGAATCTTGATGAGGGCAGATGCTAAGGCCAACAAGTTTGACAAGGACCTGTGGGCAAATGAATTAGGACCCATCCTGAATCTATGGAAGAAACTCAACTCTGTAAGTATTCTTTATATAAACAATGGGCAACATTTTCATTTATTAAATGTCATAATTATACTCCAAAATGTATATCCATGTATACGTGTAGTTAGTTGTTTCAAAATTCAAAAAAAATATATTCATTCTGGGGAATCAGGTATTTAATGTAGAAATGAGCCATTTTCTGTCAGGCTGTTTTTTCAAAGTCATTCAGAAAACAAGTTTGAAATGTATGTTAACTTTGCCTGTGCTGCCCTTTGTGTTTTTCACGTTTAGTCTACAATTTATCAAACATTGTTTTATAATGAAAACAGCACCTTCTCTAGGACTACAAGAATAACGTCAATAAGTTGGAAAAGTTACTTTCTATATGAGCCAATTATTATTCCACACATAGGAATATAAAATGGCAACCGGACAAACCGGTCCATAATACAGCCTTGACCGTTAGTCAGACCACCCTCGTGTTATATACGGTTATGGTCATGAATTAATTGAGATCTAAATTAAACAGCTCTTCATAGTCCGTCTTCCTTATAACCATAATTGTACTTTCAAGAAATGATTCACTGCCATTGTTATTGGTGAAGCCCCAGTGTATTCCTCTTCCTGTAGTTTGTGACCCATTAGTCTGGTACACACCATTGAACATAACATCATCAGAGCAATCATCGTCAAACCACCATCCGCCACCATCTTGTGCCCCGCATGACATGTCATTATCGAAATCAAAAGTCCTGAATATCTTTCCCAAAATACTGTATCCATCGTTAACTGAACCCATGATAAAATCTGTCAGTGTGCATTCATAGTTCCGAGTTTCATCTGATACATGTATTGTTTGATAGTCAGCAAAATGTGAGGCTCCATTCCTGTCTATAACTGACAGCCTAGCTACATATTGAGCTGATGTTGTTATCTGATGTATTCTGTGGAGCCCCAACCAGTTCTCTGATTCCCCGTTGTCGAATCCATTTATGTAAGCATCTAAAGTTTGATTGAAATCAAGCGTGCCATCTTGACGATGTTGGAGGATTGTCCATCCATCATAACACAGGACTAAAATTGGCTCACTAGATCCATCTAGGAGAATAGGGTAGTAATCAATCTCCATATCCCCTCTACGGTCCTTTAGAGCTTTGCAGCCATTTTCCAAATAATCGCCAATATGGGCAGACATCCAATCAGCATCAAGTGTTTTATTCGATATAATTCCTTTGTATTTTATGAGCTCACATTTGGAATCATTTCCATTGAAGTTCACTCCTGCGCATGTTATGACTTTCAAACATTCTGAGATGCATTCAAGTTCAAGTGATACATTCAAAGTTGCAACTAAATCTGTTGTGTTGAATTTTTCCCCTCGCGTAATCAGGAAGTTTTCTTGTCTTGCTAAAGGAACACTGAGGTGTGTTGATAACGCAGAATTGAAAAGAGAGAAGATGAGAATTCTGAAGTACATCTTTGCAAATCCTTCAAACGCAGTTAAATGATGTTCTTCACTCTGACAAGCAAAAATATTAACTTTTATTTGTATCTCATATGACAAGCATGAGTCTTAAAGGAATAGACAGATATCATGTTATTCAGAGCAAATGTTAGTTCAAAGTATTGATTCAATATCACTTTATCCAACCTAACATTTCTTGACACCAGACAGAGATCATGTATTTATACAGTCCCAAAAGTCTTTCACTGATGCACTTAGAGTTTTGAATAGGGCATCTTGATCAACCTTGATGTTGACATTTGTCCAATTATTGAATTCAAGGGTCATCAATTACATGTACCATATCATAACTTTGATTAGGATATCCACTTAATTATCAATTATATAAATAAAGGCATCAATAAAGTAAATAAATAAACGTATGTATCATTATATAAATTATTGATGAATTGTATTGTTCATGAAATAACATTCTGAATTGATAATTCACACCTCTTCTAAATGAGAGAATTCAAATGTGTTCTCTTGGAAAATCGATATACTTGTACATGTGTGAATACTGTTTTCTTTTGCATATTTGAACAGTTTGTTGGTACATTGGTGCAGGTTCTCCCTTCTAAAATCACTTTCAGGTCTGCTCCTGTGTTGTTCTACATTTTTTCCATTTTATATGTTTATGCTTTGTTTGAACACATGTAGGTCCATACTCAAAGTGTCTACTGATTTTGAACAAAATGACATAGAAGCATCTGAAATAAATCTATTCTCTGCCAGTTTTCGATAAATTCCGCTCAGTAATATCTAGTCCTGACAAGGATAGGACTCTGAATTAGTCATAATATGATTTGAGATTTGAAATTATAGGCTGAATTGAAAAGAATCTCACAGGTAATTCTGACATACATGTATTCAGGGTTGTGTGTGTGTATCATAAAAGAATGCAATGTTGAAAATAGCTTAAAAATAACAACCAATATTTTTTCTATATTTCAGGGATCACAACTGATTCAAATGAAGATTGCAGCACCAAGTGACAAGACTGGCAACACACCCCCTACAACCTCATTCATCTTGCTAGAACAATTTAACGCTATCAAACTGGTACAGAGCGTGCATGCGTCACTTGCATCACTTAGTAAAGTGATTAGAGGCACTCAGCTGCTCTCTAATGAGGTTCAGAATCTGGCGGCTGCTTTGCTTAATCAAGAGGTATGTTCTTCAGGATCTAAGAGTTAGTTTCAAAAAATTTGTCACAATCTTTTTCTCCTATCATTTTATTTTACAATTCTGACTTGTGTCACAAGAACTCTTTGATTTTGAGATAAAATGTATTTTGACTTATTGGGAATAACTGATAAAATGAAGTTTAAAATGTCTCGGAGAATAGCACATGCTTCCAATTAATTACCTGTCAGTTATCTTGAAAATGCATGAAATTGATATGAACAAAATTTGAGTTTGCAATACTTATTGCACTTTCCAATTTCAGACTCCAATGAGCTGGTTGAGTAAATGTGATGGACCAGAAGATCCTATGCAGTATCTAAGGGGTCTTGTTACCAGGGCCAACGCTATACAGAGCTGGGTTGGGAAAGCTGAGAGGGGGTCTTTATTGAAGGATACACTTGATTTATCTGAACTTTTCAAACCTGATACATTCCTGAATGCACTGAGACAGCAGACTGCCAGGTATTTGTTTGTACTGATATGTAATATTGTACAAAATACATGTATGTTCAATCACTAAATTGAACTATATGAAACTGAGATTCCAACTCAACGAGTTTATTGATGGTGAATGATTTCCTAGCAAATACGACCCAGTTTGGCTTGTGCTGAAATACACTTTAGGATTTTAAAAAAATGACATGTAAAATCGTGAAAGGTTATGGATTTCCCATTGGCATTTGTTTGGAAGATATCCATTATACCAAGTTAATATTAGAATCCGGAGATTAGAATATCATTGAATTCCTTACCCATTTCTTGCATTTTTCTGTTTTTGTATTTAGATATTATATCTTTTATTGACTCTTTAGATGTCATATCATGACATATTAGTCACTAAGGTAGAGCAGTATATACTAATAATAAATTATTATTTACCCTTGTTTAATTCAGGGAGATGCAGGTTTCCATGGATAGTCTAAAGTTCACTGTATCTTGGAAGGGAAGCATTTCTAATGCCAAGATCATGGTTAAACTAGGGGGTCTCCAACTTGAAGGATGCACATTTGATGGAACAAGACTGTCTGAGAATCAGAGAGACTCTCCAAGTGTGTCTGCTGTGCCTGATTGTGTAGTAGCATGGATACCAAAGGTTTGTCATTAAAACATCTTTTTCAAATAACAAAAAACAACATTAAATTAGATGTGGGTCAAAAGGTCAAAGTTAATTTCAGACCAGTCAGCATCCCATAGATGTCTAACTTGTATAGAAATATATTTGTCCACTCAAAAGTTTACTCATGGAATTGGTTATTTGACAAACCAGTCATAAAATTGTAAGTACTGAATCCTAGTTCAATAATCTCATATATTTTCTCTATTGTAGGACGTCCCTGATCCTTATGACATGAATGATGTGATATCCCTGCCTATCTACTACAGTACTGAGCGAGACAGAATTGTGGCACGTATCAATGTACCATGTGGTGGCAACATTGACCAATGGCTGCAGTGTGGAGCAGCAATGTTCCTTAAACCTCAATAGACTTATTGACTTTCAAATCTTAGTATTAATGTACCATGTGGAGGCAACATTGACCAATGGCTGTAGTGTGGTGCAGCAATGTTCCTTAAACCTCAATAGACTTGTTGACTTTCAAATCTTAGTATCAATGTACCATGCGGAGGCAACATTGACCAATGGCTGCAGTGTGGTGCAGCCATGTTGCTTAAACCTCAATAGACTTGTTGACTTTCAAATCTTAGTATCAATGTACCATGCGGAGGCAACATTGACCAAAGGCTGCAGTGTGGTGCAGCAATGTTCCTTAAACCTCAATAGACTTGTTGACTTTCAAATCTTAGTATCAATGTACCATGTGGTGGCAACATTGACCAATGGTTGCAGTGTGGTGCAGCAATGTTCCTTAAACCTCAATAGACTTGTTGACTTTCAAATCCTAGTATCAATGTACAATGTGGAGGTAACATTGACCAATGGCTGCAGTGTGGTGCAGCGATGTTCCCCAATAGACTTAATTGTTGACTTTCAAATTCAAATTGCATAAAGAGTTAACAGTTAAGGAGGATGTCAAGTAGAATGTAATCTTCTACTATTCATTTTAATGCACGATTTAATGTATATTTCTACTTTTCCGTCCTAATAAATGCTTTATTTGCGCACAAATACCTAAATATGTAAATAGATGATTAATTATAGTATAATCCCATGATACTATGATAATAAGCCATTGAGTCATGTGGGATTTCAAGCATACCCTTCAAATCAAAACTACAACCGTTACCTTAATTGACATAATTAGAAGGAAATACATGCTTTTTTACGAAAATCTAGCGAAGAAACTTAAAGGTGCAACAATTTAGTACAGGAGGGCGATTCAACGATCATTGACCAGTGTCAAAATATATTTAAGTTTGGATATTTCATCAAGACTAACATATATTTTTTTATTCTCTTATTTCAGCTGATATTCCTCTTGAAATGTGGTGAATCTTAACCTCTTGACTACCTGGAGTGACGAGATATCTCGTCACCTCAGAAATGACCTTGAAACCCAGGGTGACGAGACTAAAATTGCTCTTATTTGAACAATTTTCATCCAATAAACTTGTTTTAGAATTTGTTGAAATCATCTCTGCATTCTGATTTTATTAAGTTGAGCATCTAAAGTTGTATATGAATGTCAAAAGATGGCAAAAATGAAAAATTCTCTGGTTTCAACCGATTTTAGAGACTGGGATTCAAGATGTTAAAAATCTATAAGTGGGACTCCCTTTATAGAAGCTTTTGAACTGAATTTACACTTCTTAATGCTGAAATTTATAGTTTATCCATACATTTTAAGAAAATAGGTATGTCAAAGAAGATGTTAAGCCAAATATTGACCCGATAGCTCAGAAAAAATAAAAAATTTCGAATTTTCTCTCTACAGTCTTTGTCGCCCCTTTAACTACTTCAAACTTATAAGATATGTCAATTATAGATACAAATGTCTTTTAATATCCCAAAGTAATAAATGAACACAACTTTCATATTCTGTATTCAATCTATATTTCAAAACGAGGCTGATACTAGTGACACCTATTGACAACAATTATTGGTTGTGCTAACACAATGGAACAATCACTTAAATCAATCAAATAGACAACAGTTATGGACACAAATTCCTGATAACTGAAATAAGCATCAACAATATATAACACCAAAAAATATTTACACAAAGGTGCTAGTAATTATAAATACATTTTAATGAATGAGAATTTAACATTCAAAAACGTTCAAAAACGCAGCCTTATTTACAGCGTGTTTTAGCTTTTCTCAATTTTTATAAATCACATGTAAAATATAATGACTTTCAAGATATATAAATATTTTGTTCACCAAATGATCAATGCTGAGTGGAGGCTGAAAACGATGTATAAAGACGATAATTTCAAAATCACGGGCTGGTATCGAAAAATTTGTCCGCTGTGACGGAGCATGCTATTTTTCATATTTCGTATTTACATATGTTTTCATAATAACTCTGAATGTATTCATGATACATATTGTATTGGGTCTTTTTAATTTTTTTATAAAATTAATGTTTACATTTTAGTCCGTTGTGATGGAGCAGTTTCACATTTGCAACTGCAAACATTATTTTTTTTATAAAAAAATGAAAAAGACCCAAGGCATCAATATCAAGTTATGGTGAAAACATGTATGTAAACATTATTATGTCAATATATCGTGACATTTTAAAGTTAAAAAAGAAATGGTACATTTTGAAGTAAGATAATCCGGCGCCATTTTCAATAACTTTTCCTCATAGCGTTATGGGACTTTAAACAGAAGTGAAACTTACCCGCAAATGATATATCTATTGCATGGAGTAAATAATTTTCTTTGGTATAATGAAACATACATATGAGTTCAAAATAAATTGTGTGGTTTTCTTAGTGTTTTTATGAAAAATAACACGCTCCGTACAGCGGACAAATCTTTCGATACCAGCCTGTGAAAAATGTGTACATTTGGGAGAGGTTTGATATATACTGAGTCAATATAGAATTTAATTAAGCTACTTTTTTACATCTCTACAATTTCTTTAATATCAAATGTCAGTTACGCGTACTTGAAAATAAATGTAGGACGTAGGTCCAAAAGCGGCTAAGTTATCAATGAAGCAATATCACGAATTCAAATTTAAGCGCACTCGGTCTGTCTAGGGTGTTATAATAAGTACTATAAACTCCCAGACCATCATAACAACTAATATTTCCATTAAGTTCTGTAGGATTAATTATTCCATAATACTTCTGTTTTCCCTGGGAAATAAAATCATATTATCCATCTTGAAATCATATATACTCGAAAAATCATATTGTCCCTGTAAAAAAAATCATATATACTCGAAAGATCATATTGTCCCTGGAAAAAAAATCATATATACTCGAAAAATCATATTGTCCCTTTTTCAAAAAAATGTTTATCAAAAAAATCATTTTTTCAAAAAAAATTGATTTTTCAAATTTTCGAAAAAAAAGAATTTCAGAAATTTGATTTTTCCAAAAAATTGCAATTTTTCAAAGATTTTCATTTATTTAAAAGATTTGCAATTTTGAATCATTTTTTCAAGAATTTTAATTTTTTACCAAAATTTTCAATTTTTTAAATATTTCTTTTTCTTTGAATTCTCAAAAATTAAATTATGGAATAAAAAGGTTATTTCATGCTTGATTTTCAATATGAATTTTATTCCACGGGAAATATGACATTAACCTCAGTAAATATTATATTGACACTCACTCGCTACGCTCGTTCGGTCAATATGATATTTCCCTCGGTCAATATCATATTACCCTGGAATAAAATTCATATTGAAAATCAAGCATGACATAACCCATATATACATGATAAATTATTAAGTTAATATACAAATACAAATAAAAAGACATTACGTTGAACCTGTATACAGATAAAAAAAAGTATAAAAAATAATGACACTAAGTGACAATAGGCGTACTTTTCAGTGTTTATTACAAAAATAATGGCGAAATTTTCAGAGATTCCGGAAAAAACCGACATAAAGAGATTCTCTAAACGTTTGTGATATTCTATTTATATTTTGGAAAACTCGTCATAATGTCACGTCCGTTATACATAACGGCAATTTCAGCCAAATGATACATTTCACAAAACTGTCGCAAACCTAGATTGCATTTTTCTAGATAGGACTACATAGTACTATGTACTTCTCTTTTACACTCTCAAATGCTTTCCAAACCATACGAAACTGAGGTAGACCGAAAATATTGCCTAAACAATTGCTCCTAATCCGGTGACCCAACCCTTTGGTAAAACTGTAATACACGAGATACTATTACAGAAAATAGGGAGGTCAGACTCAGACCCCACCGTGCGCTGAGTAAGCCCATGAAGAGGAGCAGTGTGGGGATTTTAATGATAGTTCAGTTGCTTAGGGTATTGTGAGGATACTATACGTATCAAGTTAATGTGGCACAGATCTAGGCTGTTCATTGATAAGAACGCTGTCAACGTGTTAGCCATTCGAAAACGTATAATTCCATTGGACTGGACGTTATGCATCAATATACGAGCCCGCCTTATAAAATGCCCGCTGCAGAACCTGAGAACGATCACATGTACACTAGTCATGTACATATACATGCAATACGAGTTGATGAACGTGAAGTGACCGTAGCCGGGACCAGAACAATTATCGACTTTCCAAGATGCTCATTGTTAATCAGTTGACGGATGTCCTACCATGATCATGATATCCGAGCTACTTATGACACGTGTGAGATAACATCGAGCCCGGGTTACCGTGGGTTCAAAACGTCACTCCTTTTATTTCACCTTGCAGTAGTGCCGGAAATATAGGCTCCTCTTTAGCGTGTAAACATATTGGATAGGGTCCTGTGTTTATCCTTGAAATCTTATAAGGAGGATGGACGTGCTCTTTAATCATCAACAATTGACACCAGTTCGTGATCTAATCCCCGACCTTTTTGACTGATTGAAGCTGGCAAGGTTCCTATTGAAACGGTTATTCCCTGTTGAACTACTTTTGACACTGTCTCACCATTTAGACATTTCTTGATTGAAATATCAGCATATCAGATTGAGCCATATTCTTCAAAAGAGTCTTTATTTCGAACTTATATCGGCAAATCCCAAAGAACAGATCATTCATGAATCTGAAATATGTCACAATATAATATTTTAGTATAATATGTATATCATAGCCATAAGAGATCTCCTAATTATTGAGATGTCTTGTATGAGGTAACCGTTTTGGATTTTCCGAAGCACAAATATTGAAATAAGATAAAACAACTAGAAAAACAGATACTCCATGGTGTAGCAGATCCCATCGAAAAAAATTATTTTATCAAATCGCTCCTTAATTTGAACATTTCATGATGCAGTTCCCAGTCAAAACGTCAAAAATTTAAACATGCCCCAGTATTGAACTGCCATACACTCTCCTTCATAAGTTTGGCAACCTTAGCTCCCCATTGAACTACGTGTTAAAGCCTCTCTACCTTTGAATTTTTATTTTCTTAACCTGCGATGAAAATACTTATACTATGGAAACGTAATGTGACTTTATTTCCAATAAATAAATTTTTGAAAATCGTCATTCCCATCTTAACCAATGGTAAATGGTAGGTTTGTCGCAAGTCATATTACAGAATATCCATCCATCCGAGTCCTTGCAAAAAATACGAGTAAGGTAGGCATTTGAATTTGCTAACTTATTTAACAAAAAATTGATATGTTTCTTCAGGTTCAACAAAGTAATAGGGCTTTAAAGTCAAAATTGTTTTTCAACAAACCTCTCCCATTGAAACAACACAGGAGGCTAAAAATTATTTTCAAAAATGACTTTGAGGCGCTGTAACTTTAGTATTCATCAAATAAACTAAACACTTAGTGTACAAAAAAAGAAACACAATTCAATTTTCTATCTAAAAATATTTTTGCTGAATCTTTTACTGAAAAGATATCCTGATTTCTGATTTGCCCCGAACCCTCCTTTCCCATCGGATTACATGGGAATGACGATTTTCAAAAATTCATCGAATTTATCATCGATTTTCGACCTATTGTAACTGAGGAAAAAAATTGAGAAAATTTGGAGGTATTGGAAATAAAGTCAAGTTACGTTTCCATCAATATTATAAGTAATTTCGTCGCAGGTTAGTAAATAAAAATTCAAACGTAAAGAGGCTTTAACACGTAGTTCAATGGGGGACCTAAGGTTGCCAAACTTATGGAGGGGAGTGTAAGTACCTAGTCAAAGGTTTTATCAAATACATTCCGGGAAATTCTGACACCCTATCGTATCCGCTGTCGAAGGTTTAACGTTCAGATCAAGAATACCTTAAGACTAGAAAACTGAGCTCCATGACCATGTTGTCTGTTTAGGACATTGAACTACCTCATCGTTGAACCATGATGACTTGGCTTGAACCATACTTGGTGAACCAGATGACTTCATGATAGGTACACCTGCCAAATCTACAACATAAATAACCGATTGTAGTATTTTTTATAAAACAAGCTATCACTACAAAAACATATTCCATCAGAACAATCGTTTTGAACATTTCAAGATAGAAATCGGTGGCGGATCGGGGGCGGACCCCATGCCCCCCCCCCGGATCCGCCTCTGAAATAGCCAGGCATTAGTATTATCTCTTTTTGACAAAATCTACACCCATGTCGTGGCTCGCGTGAGATTGCATTCTGGAATCCAATCTTCCTTGACGTTTACGTTACATGAACACAGTGGCAAATTACTTTTTCTATGTCTCTTCTGCACTTCGATTGTTTGTAAAATTATTTATAAAATTTATTTCGGAATACTCTACTTAGCTTTCTAATTCACTGGTGTTGTGATTCCACTTTTCCAGGAGTTCTCAAATCCGTTTCAGATCTATACTGACTCAATATATACCATCCGCCTTTCTCCCGCTACACACCAAGCTGACATTGTGACAGTGTTTGCACGGTACCTTCTATGAGGGGTTCTTTTTGCACGGTACCTTCTATGAGGGGTTCTGTTTGCATGGTACCTTCTATGAGGGGTTCTGTTTGCATGGTACCTTCTATGAGGGGTTCTGTTTGCACGGTACCTTCTATGAGGGGTTCTGTTTGCATGGTACCTTCTATGAGGGGTTCTGTTTGCATGGTACCTTCTATGAGGGGTTCTGTTTGCATGGTACCTTCTATGAGGGGTATTGTTTGCATGGTACCTTCTATGAGGGGTTCTGTTTGCACCTTGATCAATTCATTTTGCATCTTGTTATTAATTTCATTAACACGTTTAATGATCACAAAGTTCAAGACAAAAATAGTTATGATAATTACAATGCATAAGAAAATAAGTGCAATGATTTCATTTTTTGAGTTATCATGCACAGTAATCGTGCGCGCTGCACTGTTTGTTGTTTGGGCTGTATAAGCAGTTTTTTCCACTGAAAATAAAATCATGTATTATATTTAATTGGATACATGTATAATTATTTTACATGGGCTGGGTACTATTCACCTAAACTAAAACAATATTATTGTTACACGACGTTGAACATTGAAAAAGAAATAAAAAGATGGTCGCTATTAGGATTTGAAAATTATTTTGAGGGGGGGGTGTATAGAGATATTGTATATCGTATAAGAGGCTGAAAATTTATTGTATATTGTATAAGAGGGGGCAAAATTTATCGTATATGGTATAAGAGGTGTAAAAAATATGGTATATGGTATAATAGAAAATATATGGTATATGGTATCTAGATTTAAAGAAGAATAATTATGAACCCTAAACCTAGTAGCCCGGACAGAATCGTTCAATGGTCACTTTTTCTTTAATAACTTTTTTAATTTTCAGTATTATCAAAGTCTGATCACATATTTGAAAACTAGAGTAAAATTCTGACATACAACAAAAATATTTAAGGAATATCTCTTAATTTATTGATATTATAGGCATTCATAGTATGACTGACGCAAATACATAATTCATCATTTTGCCTCATATTTGTTCAAAATGGCAGCATATTTCGTGAATTTGAATGTTAGGTTGAGAGTAAATATTTAATGATTGTCATAGGCCTATAGGGTCATGCTGCCACCTTTACAATCCTGATATAATGCACCAACTGACTAATCATCAAATACAAGAGGTCAACTCCCTCCAAGGGTATATGAAGTCAAATCTGTTGAAATGATCTGGGTTGTGTTCAAGAGGATGTGAAAAGGTGGCGCCCCAATGTGCGGGGTGTGATGAGAGTTAAGGTCCCCAATCTTTTCAAGAGCTCCAAACAGCCATCTCAGAGGCCATTGAAAAGCTGAAGAACAATTAACATGAATGCCAAGGATGGGTTAAGAGGCTTGTGACTGGGAAATACACTACAAACTATGGCAATATGACCCTATAGTTGCACAGGTTAAACGAACTAGGGTTGCTAATCCACTTCGAGTAACAATGGAATGGCCAAAAAACGTGTCCTGTGACGTTACCAATATACTGTACATACAATGTACAAACCTTTTTAAGTACTGGTATACATACAAGTCAATTTATAACAAAATTTTATAAATGCAGTCATTACCTCATACCAAAGTAGCAGTCCACATTATTTCATAGGCCTATGACATTTCTTAAATATTAACTTTCAACTGAACATTTAAACCACAAAACATTCCGCCATTTTTGAACAAAATATGAGACAAAATGGTGAATTATGTATTTGCGTCACTTATACTATGAAGGTCTATAATATCAATAAATTAAGAGACATTCCTTAAATATTTTTTTTGTATGTCAGAATTATACTCTAGTTCTCAAATATGTAATCAGATTTTGATAATACTGAAAATTAAAAAAATTATTCAAGAAAAAGTGACCATTGAACAATTCTGTCCGGGCTACTATATTGTACCCTAAAGTTCCCCCATTGTGCGAACTCTATTACTGTAACCGTGTTGGAAAAACATGGAAAAGTAGTCTCTATAATTGGTTCCACATTCCAGGTCAATCAATACTGTAAGTTTAGAGAAAATCCCTCTCAAACTAAGAGTTTTGTGCCCTTTTCGTTAAATATAGTCTCAAATAAGAATCACGCCCGGTGATCAGAAGAAATGAACGGAGGGGGGAGTAGATCTAGCTGATTTTCGGTTGAAAACAATTCAACAAATCTTGAAGATTTATTTTTTCAAGAGAGAGTTAACAATTGAATGGCTAATGAATAGATGCAGTGGACGGGGGAATATGTTAGGTCTTCTTGGATTTTTTGTTTCTAACTGTGGAGTTCTAAATTAAAAGATCTATTAAAAAAGTGCAGCGTCGCCAACGTGCAAATCCCAATGTTTTTGCTATAAATCAACCAACAGGGGTCTACACGACCTGTAATAAATACTTGTAAGTGAAGTAATTATCACAAAACTATTGTCATCATTGGTTTTGTAAAACATGTTACCATACGTTATATAAAAAGTAATCGAAAATTATTGAAATTGAACAGATGGAGGGGGGGGGGGTAATGTGTCTATAAGACATATGAAAACTTCAATAACTCCATATGTCCCCATTTTTCACTTTTCAGAGTTGTAACATCAAGTTACTGAGTAAGTGAGTTCAATTTTCAAGTACACGAATTTGTGGAAATTTCTTCCACCTTAAGGACATATTACTCCCACCTCTGTTCACTCCCCCCTCCGTTCAATTTTAATTATTTTCGATTATTTTTTATCTATCATTTGGAAAATTATTTTAAAAAGCCGGCAATGAATTTTGTGATCAAAATGTCGCTTATATATTTATTACATGTCATGCAGACCATTGCTGCTTGATTTATAGCAAAAACATTGGCATTTGCACGTTGGCGACGCTGCGCCTTTTTTAATAAATATTTGTTGAATTTACCGAAAATCAGCTACTCCCCCTCCGTTCATTTCATCAGATCACCGGGCGTGAGACTGCCAAATATCATTGACTCATCTTAACTTTGATGAAAAAATGGTCACTATGGCTACTCGCGTTTCGGAGTATGTGGGATAAATCATTAAGATATTTGAGTATAAAGTGTTCATACAGCGCATTTTTAATACAAGCATCATAATGCTTATACAGCATAATATAGCAAAAGGTGTTTATTTGGTCTTCAAACTGTCATATGTTGGATTTCGGCTATTTATTGGGGATTTGACTTGAACAGGTGCATATGTTAGGCCAATGCATTAACTCCAGATCAAGCACTCACAGAGGTAATAAAATAATTATCCCATCGAACGAAGTTCGGAGGGATATAGGGAACGCCTCCGTCCGTCCGTCCGTCCGTACGTACGTCCGTCCGTCCGTCCGTCCGTCCGGGCAATAACTCAAATACCGTTGGTCCGATTTTGTTCATATTTTGTACACATATACCCTATGGGAGTAGAAGTTCTGCTCGAAAGCCGATTTTCAAAATGGCCGCTCATTTCAAAATGGCGGCCATTTTAGTGCCGAATTTACAGTAATTTAGGTGCAATATGTAAAACTGTAATAGCAATATGTTTAAGATGTAAAAAAATTATATAGGACATTGATAAAACTAGAAATGTAGATATTAAAGAAGCACATGGCAGCCATCTTGAAAAATGGCGGTCTTTACTCGTTATTTTACGATTTTTGCTGTAACTCGAAAAGTAGTGGAGCGATTTTGTTCATATTTGGTATGTGAATACTATAAACATTGCACACTGTCTAAAGACACTTTTAGTAGAAGGCGACCATTTTGAAAAATGGCCGCCATTTTGTGGCCGACATTTTAACATATTTTACTATAACTCGAAAAGTAGTGATGCGATTTTTTCATATTTGGTATGTGAATACTGTAAGCATGGCACACTGTCTAATGACACTTTTGGTAGAAGGCGGTCATTTTTCAAAATGGCCGCCATTTTAACGTATTTTACTATAACTCGAAAAGTAGTGGAGCGATTTTGTTTATATTTGGTATGTGAATACTATAAGCACGGCACACTGTCTAATTGGTAGAACTAGAAGGTGGCCATTTTGAAAAATGGCTGCCATTTTAACGTATTTTTCTATAACTTGAAAAGTAGTGGAGCGATTTTGTTCATATTTGGTATGTGAATACTATAAGCATGGCACATGGTCTAATGACACTTTTGATAGAAGGCGGCCATTTTGAAAAATGGCTGCCATTTTTGCTATATCCTTTGTTTGTAAAAATGCCATCCATGGCTGTTCGATGGGATTCGCTACGCTTTGGCGTTGCCGTTGTTCTGGTTTGGATTTTGAGACAGGGAAGGTTTTTCTAAAATGTTGTCCTTATTTTCAGCCCTTTCCACATATGTTTTTTCAATGTTCACCAATATGTTGCACTTTGAGACACAGTTAACCTCTAAAATATGATTTATTTGGGATAAAGTGGAAAACAGTACATGTATTTCCCATGTTATTTTCCCATAGGGAAAACTCATGTGATTCATTGTTTTCAGCCTTATTTTGGTCATCCACATTTGATATCTTTAAAACCCCTGCATGAATCATATTTTCATTTAACCATGTCTCAAAATGCAACAGAGTGATCGATGCAACAAACATTGAAAAACAGGTGTGGAAAGGACTGGAAATCAGGACAACATTACAGAAAAAAACATGTTGATGGGGTGTTTGCACCTTCCCTGTCTTAAAGTCCAAATTATTTTATAATCTCTATGACTGCTTGTCCTGGAGTTAATGCATTGGGCTAACATATGCACCTGTTCAAATCCTCAGAAAATAGCCAAAATCCAATATATGACTGAAATCTGATGCGATACCGTCCGTGGTCCTTTAAAAGAAAGTTATTTCAAGTTACATAGAATAATTTTCATTCTCATCAATAAATCTTTGCCTTGAAATCATTCATGAAACATGTGGTTTGACCTTCATGGAAATTTGCTTAATTTTGAAACACCTTTGTTTAACTAATACTGTCTTTGAGGCTGCCTTATCTGAAACCCAAAGTGTCTCAAATGTTTCAAATGTTTAAACAATCAAGTCTCATCTTGCCTTTATTTCAATCTCTAGTTTCCAGACTCGAGTCCAATCAAAAATGAATTATCCACATGGAAGTTTGTGAAGTCCTTTATTTCTGAAACTGTTTCAATACTTAATATTTTCCAGGTAACTGCTTTACAAAATTATTGTGCATTGTGAATCTTCATTATCTATCTGATACATATTTTCCTCAGCAAACTTTATTTTCATAGAACACACGATGAATCTTTTATTCCTTATTCTCAATTTTGCATCAATTATGTTTCAAGAATTGTTTTCCCTGGCTCACTATGAAGGATTCCATTGACATTAAAATAAGTCATGGGAAAGTAGGTCATAAGAAAGGGGAACACTGAGTTCCACCCATGATGCAGGTTTTGTGCTAATTTTGAATATCTTTATGGTACTTTTACAGGTAATGGGCTAATGGCTTTAGCAAATTGCAGCAATGTCAAAGCTAGTTTTTTGGTCAAAGTAGGTTGTTAAATCACTAAAGAGAAGTCATGAATCTTATATCATGAATGTGTTTTAAATAAACTTGTTTACCTGAAAATAAAATGTGGTCAAAGCTTGTCTGATGCGGATGTACCCGAATGGTGTCTTATTCATTATGTAATAAATGAAATCATTGTGGTATTTATGTGGAGTCTAGTTGCCTTATAATAATACATTTACTTTAGTACATGGATTCTCTCCTAATATAATATTATTTCCTTATAAATATCCAAACTTTAATCAAAAGCAGTTTCAAAATTATCGTATATTGTATTTCACCTAAAATATCGTATATGGTATAAGAGCTGTGAAAAATATTGTATATGGTATAAAAGGGGTGAAAAAATATTGTATATGGTATAAGAGAGCTGAAAAATATTGTATATGCATTTCCAAGACCCTCTATACACCCCCCCCCCTTTTGATTATAAGGACCCTTAAAATGGTATGTACAATGTGCCTTACAATGGCCGTTTCCGCTAATTACCAATCCTATAATGGAACCTCAATGTGTTAAATATCATATGAAAGCTTGTTACTTATTGAAACAATTCTGATTAATCTCAGCAGCATACTGCTTATACAAGGAGGATTGGCTCCCAGAATCGAAGTCGATATTTTCCAACAATGAAAACGCCGAGATGTCGTTATTTTCTGAAATTATAACCGATTATAAATTCCAAATAAACAGTTCAAAAGATTCGAACCAATATCTCAATCATTTCCTGTGAGTTTTGGAATTTTTCGTTAGGAAATAAGACCAAAATTTACGATTCAAATGTTGAAGTGAACAAAATGGCGGCTGTTGGAATTCAAATTTTGTAGCACGACATGCCCATATATGGGACAGAATATCGATGTTGCACTCTGGGAGCCAATCCTCCTTGCTGCTTATACTTACTAAATATCACTACAAAAGTTGCCCATTTGATCGATGACGTACAATCAAACAGCCACATCTAAAAGATTAGCTGTGTAGGCAAAAAGTAAAACGTCTATCTAAAGAAATGTACAGTACCAATTATCAGTGGGGGATACTACTGATATATCAAAACAAGGCATTAACATGCAAAATGTTACCACCTTACAGACGCCATGTTATAGGCGTCGAACACCAACCGCCGTCAACAAAAATTGAAGACTATGACAATATGTCTGACTTGTGATGTATGTAATATAATGAAATCATGATGGCGGCAATCAATCTAGCAAATTAAGATAAGAAATGGTGACTACCAAACATAAGTTCACAAATAATGTCCCCCATGATCAAGCGATTAGCTAATTTTTGGCCAATAATGAAGTCCATAATTCAATATTCAAGATGGTGATAAATATAAATGTATACTGATATATATGAGGAGGGAAAACCCCATGGCAATTGATCTCCATCTTGGTTTTCAAAGTTTTCAAATTGACCTACTTTTAAACCAATCAACGATTGACTCGCTAAACCAATCGGCGACGATGTCATCTCAATACTAGCGCAGTCAGATGTCCAGAAATGAGCCCTTTATAGTTCGACTTTTTCAGGAAAGCAACAAACTTGGCACAATTGTAGAAACACTTGATCTGAGTGAAAAATGATTTCGGGGCAAGTGATCCGGAGTGGTCTTCATGGATTTTTTAGTCTCTGACCCCAACCCCTATCAGGCGGGGAGGGGGTACATTATAAAAAATAAATAAAAATGGTTGTTAAGTATATTTTTTTAAATGACTTCATTTGGTGATTGCTCTGAGCCTTGAAATTGAGACAAACCGATTGTAGATGTGGTGTTTAGTGTGGAAAATGCATTTTGACCCAATTATCTAGCGTGAATTCATCTTTTAAAGGGTCAAATATGGGACATCAAGTACTGTATTTCAAGAATGTGATGTCTGATCATCTTGGAAAAATTCATACTCATAGGGGTATAAGTGTTCATCACAAATATAGAATATGGCTTGGGTAGCTCATGCATTTTTTGAGATAAAAATTATCGAAATTTGAATTTTTAAGCCCTTGCGGCCTAGGGGTAACCTTATTCTACCTTAATAATTTTTAAGATATGCAATGTATGGGTCTCATATGAGCTCAAAATGGTGCATTGAGTCTTGTTTTGTCATATTATTCCTAATTGGATTGAAAAATGATTGGAACTTTTCAAAAAAAAATTTCATTATCGCTTCTGAAGGGCCAGGGGTAACCATATTTTACCTTAATAACTTTCAAGGTTTGTAATATATGTATCCCAAATTAGCTCAAGATGGTGCATATAGTTCTGTTTAATCATTATACCTCCAATAAGATGTAGAAAATGATTGGACATTTCTTAAAATTTGAAATTTTCATTTTAGCTTATGATGGCCTGGGAGGGGGCTTATTTAACATTGAACTTTTCTTAATTATGCGACGTATGCATCTCAAATGAGCTTAGAATTGTGTCATATACTCTTGTTTTGTCATATTATTCCTTAGGAGATGTAAAAAATAATGGAAATTTGAAAAATGACATTTTTAGCTTTTGACAGGTCAGGGGTGATTTTATCATATATTACCATAATATAGAAGCAAATGATGGAGTGAGTTTAGCAGCCCCGTCCCCATGACCGATGCCATTGGCAGCTTGGGTCTTAAAGCATTTATGACCCAAGCTGCAATAAACCATGCTGACCTATTCTCAACCAATCAGCGAGCTTGAAGGAACAAGTGGTAAATGCGTGCACATTAATGATGCGATTTCGTCAGAGAAAATGACCATATAGAAAGCCGTCCTTATTTCGACAACAAACTCTGATTAGCGCAGTGAGTTCAGAGATTCATTGAAAACTGATAGAGTGAAGCTCTCTTTTGAGAAGGAAAGTCGAATGAATGCAAAGGGTAGTAAGTCCAGTCACCTTAGCCTGATGGGGGGGGGTTAAGGTGAGCTGCTTCTGTCAAGGATTCTGTCAGTGAATAATGACAGTCAATGATTGGGCACAAGAATGCCAAATGTTATCACAATAATTTTCAAGATAAAATGATCTCAAAATGGGAAAATAGTCTGTTTTTCACTTTATTCCTACTGAGATAATGATTAACAACAATTAGAAAATTCAGTGACACATTTAAATCTCAATCAATTTATTCCATTTTTCCATAGCAGTAGAATACAGATGTAACATCACATCCAATGATTGTATGAGAAATGGGGAGGATTAAACTTTGGTCATGGGCAGGTAGATATTGATATGTTTTCTCCCTTACCACATGCTATCCGAATTGACTTTTTCAGTTTTTAACATCACATATATGCCAGGATAACCACATCAGAATTAAATGTAAGGAGTATTATTCTTTCTCTTGAAGGCCATGATTGAAGCAGTCTAACTGAAAATATTGAGAAATATCCTTGAATTTATGTTGTCACTATCTTCTTTCCATCCATTTCAAGAGTTTCAGTTTCCTCCTTAGACTATCCTTGTTCCAGTTCCACAAGTCTCTCTAGTGCTGTTTTAAAGGTGCAACAATTAGTGCAAAGGGGCCATTCAACGATCATGGACCAGTGTCAAAATATATTCAAGTTTTGATATTTCATCAAGACTAACATATATGTTTATTTTTTTCCAAAGAAACCCCCTGGATGAACATTATTTCAGCTGATTCCTCTTGAAATGTTTTGGATCTTAAAAACCTATAAGTGGGACTCCCTTTATAGAAGCATTGAACTGAATTTACACTTCTTAATGCTGAAATTGATAGTTTATCCATACATTTTAAGAAAATAGGTATGTCAAGAAGATGTTGCGGATTGGGGGTGTAATATGAAAATGTCATTTTCTTATAATTTCCAATCATTTTTTCACTCCTTGGGAATGATATGATAAAACAGGACTAAATATACCATCTAAAGCTCATTTGAGGTGACTATGTCTCATATTTAGAAAATTATTTAGGTAAAATAAGGTTACCCAAGGGCCATCAAGAGCTTAAGTGAAATTTTTGATTTTTTAGATATATCCGATCATTTTCTACATCTTATTGGAAGAAGTATGATAAAACAGAACTATATGCAACATCTTGAGCTAATTTGAGATGCATAATGCATAAAATATGGTTACCCCTGGCCCTTTAGAACCGAAAATGAAAATTTGATTTTTTGTTAATTTCCAATAATTTTTTTTACATTTTATTAGGAATAATATGACAAAACAATACTTAATGCAACATTTAGAATTCATATGAGGCCCAAACATTGCGTATCTTAAAAATTATTAAGGTAAAATAAGGTCACCCCTAGGCTGCAAGGGCTTAAATATCCATATTTCGATAATTTATTTCTCAAAAATTACATGAGCTACACAAGCCATATATCATATGAGTGATTAACACCTATATCTCTATTAGTATGAATTTTTTCAGGATGATCAGACATCACATTCTTGAAAAAAAGTACTTGATGTCCCATATTTGACCCTTTGAAAGATGAATTCACGCTAGATAATTGGGTTAAAATGTATTTTTCTTCCTTAACACCACTTCTAAAATAGGTTTTTCTCAATTTCAAGGCTCAAAGCAATCACCAAATGAAGTCATTTAAAGAAATATACTTTACAACTATTTTTATTTATGATAGGGGTGGGGGTCAGAGGCTTACAATCCATGAAGACCACCCCGAATCACTTGCCCCGAAATCATTTTTCATTCAGATCATATGTTTCTACAACTGTGCCAAGTTTGTTGCTTTCCTGAAAAAGTCGAACTACCAAAGGGACATCTGACTGCGCTATACAGATTTAGCGTATGTCATCTTTGAACCCTGGGGTTTGTCCCCCTCTTCTGATATATTGAGCCATGTGATTGTCAGTCAAATTGGGAGAGATGAGGTCATTATGAAACACCCTTGCCTGTACATTGCACCACACTTACTATGTATAGTCGTGGGTACTGGATAACATTCGAAGCAGATTTCTTGAGATGTCGTTTTATGCAATATTACATTCCCATCTTCGTCATATGTCTTGCACTGTTCACCTTGGCCATCTTCAGCAATCATATTTTGGAATGTACATTTGGTGTAACCATTGCATTTGCTTTTTGTGTTATTTGGATGTTGGATTTGGCTTTCACATATCTTAAAGCCATTGCACGTTCGTTCAGCAATATTTTTCACTCTTGTTATACGAATCCAGTAATATTCTTGACACGTAATAGTTGATGTCATGTCCCCTTCGCAGTTTGACCGTTGGCATTCTAAAATAAAAAATCGAAAGGATCAGATATGGTATGGCAAAAAAAGTATGGACAGGTTTATTTTTGACTAAGTAGTTTTGGATCATATATTTCACATTTTACAATGTTCTTATTCATGGTTGAAGTTTGATTAAAAATTAAAATTTTGAATTTTTTCTATAAAATTGAAAAAAAGAAAAAAAAGTTTTGAGAAGTGCAATTTTCCTTCCTTTGACCGCCATATGTAGCACTGTGATAACATAATCTTATATCTTTTTTTGTTTTTCGAGAAGGCAGACCACCCTTACATTACAGGTGTTTTGGAGGTAACTTCGTGCAATTTATAATTCATTTTTAAGAAATAAAGACATCGAAAGACATTTTATTTTCACTATCGTGTCTACTAGCGACTTGCAAGTCTAGAGTTGAACTCCTCGTTCCTACCCACTGGCGGATTAGGGGGGCGGGGCCTGGGCCCCTTGGGTGGGCCCAGAAAAAAAATTGGGCCCAAAAAAAATTTTAGGCCAAAAAAGGCCTTAAGGGGGGGGGGATCCGCCCCTGCTACCCGTGTCAATTCAAATAGTAAACAGTATATTTACCTGTCTTATCTGCGTTTACAACTAGACACCAAGATATCAGAAGTGCGATAGCTATCTGAAATACAAAAAGTCCATACTCCCTGGCAGTTTTAGTATATTCTGAAACACTTAATTGATTTGTTTAAGTCAATAAAATATAAAGAATATTTTCGTTAGCAGTGTTTGCCAGAGTGTTGGGATTCCATCCCTTTCCCCTAGAAAAGTTTACCATTAAAGAATATTTTATAGATTTGGCAAATCAAAAAAAGATAAATGGAGAACCAAAGGGTGCGTCCACTTTACCACTTTAAATGGTATTTAGATGATTGTGCAATCAAACAAGAGTATGTATTGGCCGTCTCAGGGTCGTCAGGAGTGCAGTCTCCCCCTCCAAAAACAGTAATCATTCCAATAAGCTTTTTGTCAATTTCTGGACACTTATATGTTTTGGTCAATTAGATAGTGAAAATGAGGTTGACAGATGGAATGTTTGGGGTGTTAATTTTAAAGATACTTTTTGTAGTTTCTGGACACAAAGGCGACGTTTGGTAAGCCAATTTGTGCTAATTGCGCATTGACTCTCTTGATCTGTGATCTTAATTTGATTGGTTGAAATTTTCAATTTTGTTTTAATAAATATTCATCAACATTCATCAAATAAATTCAAACACGATGGCTAATTCTCTTGAATTATCAAGTGAAAATGAATAAACTTTTTCAAGAAGAAGATTGTTCACTTTCTAGAGATTCCAAAAGTATTAAGATTTGGAATTAAAATCAAATTAAATTTGAAAGAGCCGTCTTTAGAATTCACATTAAGTTTGATATATTTTTCGAATTATGGCTTCATGACATTTAACTGAAAAAATGTATTGAATAGTAATAAAAACGATCAATCATTTTTAATTGTGTATTAGGAAGTCCAAAGTATAACAACAAGAAACGCAAATATTGGAATCTGTTTGGTTGAGATATCGGTAATGTATTAGTGTGTGCCAAAACCCCAGAAAATCACAAAAACCTATGTTGTGGTAGCTTACTATGAAGTGACCCATTCTCATTATAGATTGGTCCATCAACTATTCATTTTTACTTGTCTGCACTCAAAAAGGTGACACGAATGGGCTAAACGGCTTGCCACAAGGTGCAACCATCAAAAAGATGAGTTTGATAAAAAATTATTTTTTTTCAAATAATAGCAATGGGTATACAATATAGGAGGTAAATTTGATATTGATAAGTATAATAGTCCATTTGCGTGTGGCCATTTTTATAAAAAACAATAATTGTGAAGAATTATATATTTCCTACCTGAAAATACTATCTTAATTCAAAAGTCATGGTTGTTAATGATAATATTCCTATTTCACCTATTCAATGTTTTCAAAATATTTTAATTACCATTATATTCATTTTTGGCCAAGTAAATAAATATAGGGCTCACACAGGGATCAACTTTATTTGCAATATTTTCATATTTAGTGATGTTTTGAAAAAATATAAGGTTAAACACAATTTTATTTGTTAAATGTTTAACAAAATAAACATACTGTAGTGTGTTTATTTCATTGTTTCAACTGAAAAATCGCAATTCATTGCTCTTCGTCTTAGAACGGCAAGGGATATACAAGTACGTAAACAGTCTTAAAAAACTTTGATCCTTGTGTAAGCCCTTCACTTATTTACTTTGCCAGAAACTGATATAATAGTTATTCGTCAGTATGAAAATCATTTCAAAGGTAAACTAGGAAGAATGTCATTGAACTTGGAATAAAAAGCATTATATGGTTAGAAATACCCAATTTTTTACCATAATTGTTTTTAATAATATAACCATACACTAATGGACTATCTTTACATTTCAATAACCAATGTGTATAATATTTTGCATGTTTTACTGCAATCATTTGTAAAAATATTTTTAAATCTTACATTTTTGACTGGAAAGTGAAGAGACAATGCTCAAATATACTCATATTATTGGTCACATTTGGTTATTTCACCCAAACAGATTCGGGATTTTTTAGTCCAGGCATATGAAGAAACTAGTGTGAGTTAAATGGTCATATTATTTGTTGTTTGATTTAGCTAAACATAATATGTTGAACCTGCTTTGGCCATTAAACTTTAAATTTGCTTTAAATTTAGATTTTGTGAAACACATCCGCTTACTGATCCAATTCAGAACTACTGGAGAAAGTAACTCTCGTGAAAAACTTGGTCAACGTGACTGTTGATTACTGATTGCACTAGTGATTAAACTAATGACCTCATATTTGGATAACCTCTCTTCTGATATGATTTTACAATTCACTTCAAATTGGCAAAGGACCAGATATAGTATGGCAAATGATATCTGACGGTCATATATTTTACCATGACTACTTTCTCAATATAAATATGACATTTCTCAAAAACACAATATGTTATCTTTCAAGAAAATTCAATTCTCAATGATTATAAAAATATCATTCGAACAATCTACAAAACTATGAATGGGGAACCCATCTCAACATTTTTTGAAATTATTTACTCAACAGAGGTTCTTCTTTTTTATTTGAATTGCATGAAAATATTATTCAACAAGTGGTCTAAAACTTTTTCATTAGAAGAATTGTAATGAAAGTCTAGTTTTGGAGATTTCAATTTTCAATGACCAAAATTATGCTGAAAACAATGGATAGTTTGACTTTTTCCAATGGAAAATAACATGGAATTTGTGGTTTTTAACTTTATCGCATTTCAATACCCGTCCCCTTTTCAGAACTTGTTAATTCATTAGCGTAGAAGAACTTTTGATATATTCAAATTCAGAAAAAATACTTTAGAAAATAAGCCTAATATTTTTCAAAAAGTGACAAGGTGGAGATTTTATCAATAATATTTCAGATATATTTTCATGTATTTATATTTTTAATTTCAATTTATTCATACATTCAAGCATTATGTTTACGAATATTATTAATAACAGGTGGCACTACAGGTGATGCTTATACCCGTACGTATAGTAGTAAAATCATGTAGTGTATCACTAAGTTGTCAAGGAATCAAACCAGAATGAAATCATAAAAACTAAGTTGAAAAATAAAGGTTGAGGGGGATTTATGATGTTTTTTCTTTTCACGTGAAGTAGTTGGATGATATCATTTTTATCATAGGGACTTTACATAAGAAAAATCATATTGTTTTCACAAAAACACGTTCAGCCCCAAAATGCCAAATACTAATTAGATATTGAGCTATGACCTTGAAATGATCTTGATCAATAGACACTGACATATGGATCTCTGGTCACTTTATCATTGGTCATTTAATAGGACTGTAGCCCCACAGTTGCCAACTACCAAGATATTGACTTTGACCTTAAAATGACCTTGACACCAGGTCACCTAATCATTGGTCGCCAAAGGTCACAATTGTTCTCAATTGCCTTTAAACTCCAAATTGCCCCCCCCCCCTTGAGTGGGCCCAAATAAAATTGGGCCAAAAAAGGCATTTAGGCCCCAAAAAGTGGGCCTTTTTGGTCATTACTGGGCCTTTTAAGGCCTTATTTTCTAATTTCAGGTCAAATTTTGAAGAAAACGGGCCTCAAAATTTGGGCCCACTCTTCGGTTTTAGGGGCCCAAAAAAATTTCCGCTGACGTTTTTTTCTCTGACCTGAAATTTCCCCCCCCCCTTGTTTGTTCCCAGATCCGCCCCTGTGATGTAATGCAAATTGGTCTCTTTAATATGACGTCCGTAAGATAAACCATCAATACTAGGATTGTCAAAACTTGCATTAATAAAATCAATTCCCGTCTCATCACTGTCACACCCACTACTACAAGATAATGTCTCTTAGATATTAAGCTGCAAGCTATAAACTAAAAAGAATCAACTTCACTATCTGCTGCATCACTATAAATATAGAGGGTTAATTATTGTCCTGGAAGTGATGCACTATATGCTCATAATACTTTTTTATTCAAAATCAAAAGTCAATGATACTATTCCTATTTTACCTATTAAATGATTTTTATATATCCGAATAACCATTATATAAGTTTTTGGCAAAGTAAATAATTGTAGGGTTCACACAAGGATCAACTTTTTGAAGACTTTTTTGTACTGGTGTAGACTCTCCTGCTTGCAAAGCAAGGGCGATGAATTGAGATTTTTCAGTCGAAACAAGAAAACAAACATATAATTATTTTTTCTTCAACAAATAAAAGATAAAATTGAGTTTACCTTCGTATTTTTTCAAAACATCACTTAATATGAAAATGCTGTGAACAAAATTGATCCTTGTGTGAGCCCTATAATTATTTACTTTGTCAAAAACTAATGAAATGGTTATTGGTATATTTAAAAAACATTGACTATATAAAATAGGAATAATATCCTTGACAACAGTAACTTTTTAATTGAAAACGCATTTTAAGGTCATAAATATCCAATTTTTTACCATAATTGTTTTTCATAAAATTACCACACCCGAATGGACTATCATTACACATCAATATCAAATTTGCATCTTATTTTGTAAACTTACAAGTATTATTTCAAAAAATGTATATTTTTCAAACTCATCTTTTTGACGGTCGCACCTTGGTGCAAGCCGTCTAGCCCTTTCGTGTCACTATTTTGACTGCAGACAAGTAAAAATTAATAGATAATAGATCAATCTAATATGACTATGGGTCAATTCATAGTAAGCTACCACAACATAGGTTTAGCCTAACTAAGCCACTTAGAAAGCAATTTGGCACACACTATGTAAATCAAAAGTAGAACATATAATGAGAAGTTTCTCATAGTCATACTGTGAAGGTTCTGACTCATGAAAACCCGCATTAGAGCAATTCTCTAGCACGTGGGGCGCTGCTGTTTAATTTAAACAACTTTTAGAACGATACGATACAACATACCAAGAACTTATGTTTAGCTCTCTTTAAGAAACCATAAATGATGTTTTGATTTAAGAAATATAGACTGAAGAGCAGGGGTAATATCGTCGAATACACCCCGCAGGGCTAGGCACAAATTACGTGTTCTGTACCTTGAACGACCAAATAGTGCTACGGCCAAGGCGATTTG